TTTGTATATTTTGACAACCCCCCAACGCATTTTAAGTGAGTTTGTACACATGGACCCCGTGCTCCAATTTGAGCTGCGAGTTCCGAATCTATAAAAGTAGATGTAGACCCGTCGTCCAATAAAGCATGAGTATTGATACTACCACGTGGACCAGAGATCGTAACAGCTATTATTTTTAAGAAAGGTCGATAATTCGGATGTTTATTATTATTACATGGTGAAAACGAACTACGAGCGTGAGCAACGAAATCAGTCGTCTCTTTGCTCGAGGATTCATCAGAACTCTCAAGTTCCCCAGAGTGAGGAGTGGAAGACGATTCACCTTGTTCATCCTCATTTTCAACCACATAGGCAATATGTAATAATTTATGATGTCTAGAATTACATTTTTCATTGGTACAAATCTCTTTAGAAATATCACAGTTTTTATAATTGTGCAAACCTTTTTTGAGACATTTGTGACAAAGTTTTTTCCCTTTTACAAATTTCCACCTGTCATCAACTGACAATGTCTTAAAATCACAACAATGAGACAAACTATGTTCGTTATTACAAAATAAGCATATCTTTTTATTCTTGGATATGGGATTTGATGATTTTTCATGATTTTCAGACTGATAAATATACGGGGCCGTGGACGTAGATGGTTTGTATGTGTTAACTGTGTGGACTTTGTCGGCTTTTTTAGGGTAATTAATAGGCTCATTGAGAAGACCGAACTTGAGTTGTAGGTCCACCTCTTGTGCAAGGAAGGAGGCTAGCAGCTCAAGTTTAGTAGTCCTCTGGGTGAAATGAGTAGCTGCGTAGTCAGCCCATCGTGTTCGTAATAGAGGAGTAAGTTTACTAAGTACCGATTGAAAGAGCTCTGGTGATTCCAAGTAGGGTCTTTGTTCTAAAAGTTATATTTCTAATAGGGAGGTTCGGAAATGGCTAGACACATGTTTAGACACTGCTATAACTACGATAGACGTAGATTTGCAACCGCAGAACGTTAATATAAATGTTCCTTGTAGCGAATCAGCTATTAATAAAATAAATCGTTCTGCGGCAATTCCAGCACCTCTACAGACACGTAATAGCACCTATACTATGCCTGCCACAAACTCTCAAAACGTTCTCCGTCCTGTCTTAAAAGAACATATGACTAACGATTTAATAATTAGTAGAAGCCCCGCGAGGCCGATTTGTAGTTCAACTACAATTAAACCCATTTCTTCAATTGAAAAATCGCCTAGTGACATAACCTTATTAGCACAGGCCATCACCTCATTATCAAATAATAATAAGCACAAGACGTTTGGAGACGGGCGTCTTCCGGTCTTTGACGGGAAGCCTTTGGACTGGTTGACCTTCAAGCGTGTATATGACAATACACAAGCAGCATACTCGGCTTCGGACAACTTGACTCGGATTGGTATGGCGCTGCGAGGAGCGGCACAAGATTCTGTGGCGGTACTACTAGTCTCTGCGCGAGACCCTATCGAGGTAATACAGGCTTTAGCATTAAGATTTGGCAGACCTGAATTAATAGTCCTACAAGAAGTTGCGTCAATCCGTTCGTTACCAAAGGTCAACACCGATTCTAGTGATCTTCATAAATTCTCTTGCCGCGTCCGTAATTCAGTGGAGGTAATGAGACTTTTAGAACAAAGACCCTAAAGCTATTACGTGTCTGTAGAGGTGCTGGAATTGCCGCAGAACGATTTATTTTATTAATAGCTGATTCGCTACAAGGAACATTTATATTAACGTTCTGCGGTTGCAAATCTACGTCTATCGTAGTTATAGCAGTGTCTAAACATGTGTCTAGCCATTTCCGAACCTCCCTATTAGAAATATAACTTTTGGAACGACGACTACTACGTACGCTACCTCTTTCCTCCAAAGCGGCAATTTGTGCTTCTTTTCGTAGTTCTAAAGCAGCGCGCTCTCGTTCCAATACGATACGCTCACGTTCGAGGGTAGCCCGCTCCAAGATTGCTATTTTTTGGGCATAGTCTGCTTCAATTTCTAGAGTACGACTTCTTATGGTAGCTGAAGAACCTGAAACAGAACTAGCCGCGCTGCTGGGAACTCCAGCGGTTTTAGCGATTACACTCGACGAGGGAATGCCAGGGCTTCCGTGATGTACGGTAGAAGACTGGCCCTGTTCCACATCAGATGCACTCGTTTTTTTTGTTGAACGTGTCTTTACCATTGTCTTTATTGGCGAGAGGACCAATATTTTAATTATTAATGTTTCTAAGGACTGTATATATTTTATATTATATTTTTAGTTACAAGAGAAACTACGGTCGCTGATGGTAAAAGACATATATTTCAAAGTGACAATAAAAATCGAACGAAACATAAAATATTTAAATATATATATAAAAAAATATAATTATCATATAAAAAGGTGCGTTATGCACAAGTAGTTTTTGCGTGAAAGAGTAACAAATATCCATACCTACTTACAAACTTTCGAGTTTATAATATTATAAAAATTAAGATGAAAGTGTTTGGTCATTTATTACTTCTCAGCAGCATAATAACAGTTCAAATATTTGTCTTAAAATTTGTATAACTACGTATCGTATGTAAAGAATACCAATAGCTACTTTTTATTTTGGTGACTACTACTGTGAACTAATTACGGACTAATTACTAGGTAAAAATTGTACTCCATTAAAAAAATTAACCAAATAGGTATAACAAGTATAGTTAGGCCATGATAATCTAAAAACGTACGTCATCATCATCGTACCAATCTAAAACCAATTAACACCTACTGATCAGCTCATAGACTGTTGAATCCAATTCCAGTCGATCGACATTGAAGTTGTGACGTTTTGCGCATCTTCGTATTTTTTGCATAATAGTGACAAATTAGTTCCATTATGAGTTGTCATAAAATTAAATAAATAAAATACTAATTAGTTAAAACGCTTCAAAATCCGTTGCTTAGTTTTAAAGATTTAAGCATACCTATGTATGCTTAAATCTTTAAAACTAAAGTCGCGACAGCGACTTTGTTTAATAATAAATAAATTGAATAATAAAGATTAGCACACAAAACAGATTATAATCAGTACAAGAATTTGATTAGGAGCATGTAGTTTTGTACAAAACTGGATTGTCATCCAACACTATCTCTAAGCAAAATTATAGGTACAGACGCATGAATATACGCCTTATAATAAAAAGTACACTAAATTGAAAGTAATATATAAATACATAATACTGTAATCATTTTGTGAACAGAAATTTATTTTTAAAAAAATCAAAAATAGGCACACTAATAAGTATTATTTGACAGCACTTTGGAACTTTAACTGTCTCCGGAACTAGATCAGTGTTGAATGGAAAATATCTACCTATATCTCTATTCGAGATAAGAATTTCATTGTTTCACCTGTTATGAAATATAAGTGTTATAAAATTAGATTGGATAGCATTCAACCAAGACTAGACCTTCAGGACATGGTTTCTACTCATAAAGAGGGCGATATATTACACTAAGTATCAAGGCAATGTGACATATTATTGGTTTTCATGTTTTCCTTCTCGTAATATACTGGACGTACTTATTGTGTTATTCCTTCTCATTATGATATTCTAAGGAAAATAAGTGTGGTGACAACACTAATTAGAGTAATCAAAACGAGAGTTGTAAAACTGCATCGATGTTTAAGTTAAAAGCATACATAGTGTGTAGTGTAATGTGTACTTTCTTTTCTTCAAATACAGGTGGTATGTTATATTTATAAAGTTTTATATTTCGAATACCAAATTCTAAATTCACTGCTTTCGGTTTCCCTTCCTGGCCCTAGTTTGTAGTGTTTTCTTTGATAATACATAGATATATATATTATTCTTACATCAATTTCCTGTTTCCTTTGTCGTTCACACATATAAATAAATTGCTATTGTATTAGTTATATAAAAAAATTGAGTAAGAAATAAGTCTCTCAATATATTTTTATGTAGATAATTAAAATGACAAACAAGCTAACGGTCCACCAGGAGTGCCATTCAGGATGACTAAGATGTCTACACATCTTGTAATTTCACTAACTTAATAAATTTATAATTAAATTATCACTTACAAGTTAAAAATTATTTTAAAACTGTCAAAATATTATTGCAACACGCAATCTTCTCCAATAGATCTAGAGACGAATAAATTATACTGTGCATGCGATTTGTTTAAAGAAAACAGATAAATATTAGGTAGATATAATAATACAAATGGAGAGTGTAGACTATTACTCAAGTACTGACAACCTGGGCTTTCCCCAACACTTTCTTTGTTGTAACCTTTAATGTTTTCCTTATACCTACATTGAGACCGTTAGTTTGCTCTTTTGTGGTAGAGTGGATTAAAAAAAATATCCAGAAGTAAGATTTTTGTGACTAATTTTGGCTATACCAATATGAGTCGTAATACATTCATGTGAAAGTTAAATATAACCGATATGAATTAAAAATTTAACTACTTAGAGAATAATGCCAGATAATTATAAAAATATAGTATAGTTACAATATATAGGACTAATAGTAAAATATATAAAATTTCTTAATCAGAAGAAAAACAATAAATATCTTATAAATTATCTACAATAATATATAACAAACAACAATATAAATATATATTTGTTATTGTTTGTTTGTTTTGTCCGTATGGTAGTGGATTGGGAATATCACAGTCACCACTCTCTCATCCCTAAGATATCCCAAAAGAAACACAAATATATCACGCAGATGACTTTATATAAAGTCTGTGGTAAGTCAAGTGCGTATGTCTCTCTCTAGTAAATTTACAGGATAAGAGGGTTGATCTTCTATCTACAGCAGGTTGGTTCTTGAGAACGACAACGCTTGTGTTGTATCCCCAATGTTACATGATAACATGATGTTCGTGGTGGTGTTCATATGTGTACTGAAAAGCTTGTTTGCCATTCCGTTTAAGAAAAAAATTGTTACTAACAACAAATTTAAAATAATGCAATTGTTTTCAGACATACGTAGGAAAATTGGAGCCAATTGGTGGCGATCAAATATTGCAAAATTACAACCGTGGCAACCCCCTCACGTACAGGGTTCACTTCCCGGTGACGTCTCCACTTCCACGACTCACTGCACTCCAAGTCAACGAGAACGTAGTGTGTTATGGCCCAGGAGGTAAGCAGTGATATGTCATAAAATGTATTTAACTAACTAATTGTAACCAAAGACAACATAAAACATCACGTAAAGTCACGACTGTTATTCTAGATGGGGTAGTTAGAGGCAGTTTACTATATTATAATGGAATGGTGCATCCGCTGAGTTCATGGTTTACGTTGGCGGGGCACCAGTGGAGTATGATAAGATGAGCATGAGGCCAGGTCAGTTAGCCCATCAAATTCCAACAAATTCACCAGGAATTTATCATGACGGTTTCCAGGTGGAACCGCGTGGAGATCAACCTAACATTGTACATTGCTAGCAATTGGATGATCAGTCCACATTACTAACAATCCCAAATCTCCCAAGTCAGAGGCATTGTCAACTATTGATTTTGTGGTGTCACGCCACTCTTTACTTGTAACTTCATGATTATTATATATTGGAAATTACATATTACGCGTATCTTGGTCTACACAAATTCTTAATCACTTTTTTCACGGCACACCAGATAGCCTATGACCGTCCTCGTTATACTATATTTATGAAATTTAATTAGCAGCAACGACAGATAGATGGCCTATGACTGTCCTCGTGATATATTTCTACAAATATTTTTCTAGTAGATAACGTAAGGTATCTGTTTAAACGGATTGCAACTTTCTACATAAATGAAGGAAACAGCAAAGAAATAAAATCTTGGTGAGAAAATGGTTTCATGCAGACAATTCACATAGTCACAATTGTTATATACTCGTACTTTATACCGCGGCCACTTAAAAACTTTGTTCTGTAAGATCATTTTTAGTGGACAGGTACCTACTTGCCTCTAAATAGAATTAAAAAAAGTCACTCAAATTAAAAATCAATTGTTCAGGTTCTCAGAATAAGTCACAAAACATATTTGCATATTTTTTTGGAAAAGCGCGTTTTTTACAAAATCTAATCAGTTTTAATTGACATATACCTACTGTAGAATATACAAAAAGCAAGTTCAAAACGCTTCTGAAGGCTATATATCCACTTGCAGATAGCCTTGATAGTCATATTTTAATATGTTTAAAACGGATGTGGCTTTATTATTTTATCTACCTTTTCCCGCAGATTCACTACGTTCTATTTCGCATTAAATAATGTCATTAGAATTTATAACCACTTGAAAATCGCTTGCCTGTTTAAAATTTATTGAGAATATAACGTAAACCAAAACCTTATTTACATATGTATAAATTAACGTAAATTATCATTTGATTTGTAACTTAAAAACAACATAAGGTAAAGGTAACGAAAATGTAAAATTTTGGTAATTTATGTTCATGTGGAGTTCCAAGAATGCTGATAGCGTTATCAAGGGTTAAAACATTATTAAAAAATCCTGGTCCAACGGCAGCACAGTCCAACAAACACAGAACTTTACTAGTGTAGACTTTATTATACAAAGTCGATTGCACGAGTACCTCTATTTCACCTATTTCCACCAAGCAGTGCCAGCTTGCTTTTAGTTTTGGTTGAAGTATGACCCGAACCATAGCATGTTGACGTGATATTCGTGTTTATCTGTAGATATATGCGATGATTCCTACTTGCTAAGGGGTGAGACGTCAGATTTTTGTCATAAAAGATTAAAAGAACTGATCGTTTCTTGCTCAAAAGTTTAGACTTGATTTCAGCTTAAGTTCTGCACACGTTTTACCACTTATCATCATCTAGTGTTTTTCCGAAAACGGTATATATATTCACCCATGGAAAATTCATATTACGCCGCTATCTGCTCTCCGCAAATTCAGCGCCTGTAATCTGTGAAGATAAAAATGCAGGGCTGAAGCATGATATTGTAAATGATAATAAGAAGTGTTTATCTGTGGTCTCGGGCTTTTACAATACCAAAAAAATCTAATAATAAATTATATTTAAAACAATTTTTTTAAATTTTAGTACTCTGTATGTATTTTGTATGATATGAGTAATATTCGCTGAAAACTACGTGGAGAACGCACCGAGATTTATTTATTAAGTCATAACAGATAAAACGTGGCTTATAATTAAGATGAAATTATCGTATTTTTATAATTCTTAAAATAAGTGGTTCTATTTTTTTTTTGTTAATTAATTGTGATTCTATTTTTTTTTATTTATATATAGTAATTTATATTAATTGATTAGAACTTCCTTTATACTTGTTTCTAATCTTTATTCTCTTTGCCGCGACTTTTTGTATTTTTCTTTTGCTTAGTCTCTGAAAACCAATTATAGGCTTTCTGTAATAAAATATCTACTGATTATTTTATGTATTGAATTGTTAGCTTTTGGTTTTCTAATAAATAAATAATATGTAGGTATAATATGTTACGACTGCATTTTCTTTTTTTTTTTAACAAAATTATTAATTATTTATACTCTCCTGTTACATAGATTTCTGTCTTCTTTACAGATGTGGTTATACCCAACCGGTACGTCAGCACAATCAGTCTCCAGCACATAATATTCCTAAGACCTGGAAACTATCCATTCGAAAATGATCTCGGTTCGAAACCAAACTCAGTGTATGACTATCCTGGTAATGCCGGTCCTGAAGGGATATTCACATTTGATGATAACGTCGACCCTCCAGGATCTTGGATATCTGGTAAGTACCTACTATAAAAATTAATCGTATTTACTTTAAAAACGTGAACTGAAGAGACTTAAGAATTAGTTCTATAAAAATTCATCGCTCTTTGAAAAAATTTCATCGGCAATTTTTTTCTTTTTTTACTCTTATACTACTTTTCTTAGTTTAGTTACTACTAAAGTCAGAAGAAGAATTAAAGTACTACTGATTTCTTCTATATACTTAAATAGAGCCAGATTTGAATGTATGCGTAAATAAAATTACCTACTTTCGGTATTTTATTGCTCGAAACTTACTTATTTATTAAGATTCTAACGATAATTGAGATATAGGTACAAGACTTTCATAACAAAACAAAAATTTTGGTGTAGTTTATTTATAGTTCATATTATTTTTACAGTCATTCGACCAAATAATACAAGACCACAATATGATCTGCCACAAACTCCTCCGCTACAATTTGACCAGACTCCACAATTAGAGTATGAACAAACACCAAATCCGCCACGACCACAATTTGAGCCAAAGCCAAAGCCCCCGCGACCACAATTTGAGCAAACGCCAACGCCCCCTCGACCACAGTTTGAGCAGACTCCCGCAACACCAGAATATGAGCAGCCGCTGCCACCACGACAATTTATACAACCTCTACCGGTAGCCCGCCCTCCACAGCCAGACATGTAATACACCATTTATACATATAATATTTTTTTAATTTTATTTATAATTAATTTCATTTTTCTAATGGATGACAATAGGTTGGTGTCATCTTATTGAACTTAAAGTTTATATGAAGGTAGATTGTATCATATTAACGAACTTATACTTGGATAATTAAATGTGACTTAAAAATATAATACTTATCCAGATAATTGTCTCTATTTTTTGCGCATTTCAAATTATGGAAAAATAATTCAAAAGATCATTGTTATTATTCCAGATCTTCAAGACCTGACTCGAGGCCATCATTTACACAGGTGGAATGTGGAAGAATTGCTGGCGGCAATGAGCGTGTGCCACTTATATTCAATGGGCAAAGCTACACCCGAGGCGACTGGCCCTGGCTCGTCGCTATATACCGGAGGAAGGATGGAAGCCTCACGTTCATTTGCTCGGGAACTTTGGTGTCTGATCGTCATGTTATTTCTGGTAATTTTCCACGCAATACATTGTTTTTGTCTTGAATAGCAAAGCGTCTACTCACTAAACGACTACTTGATACACGTTTACCTACATCGTGCATGGCAATAGTAGTTAGTTCATCGACGAGATTTTCAATTAATGTTAGACATAGCTACCTACATGTATACAAAGTAAAAAACTAGGTTTTAAGAAATATCTAATTCAGTTGAGTTTCAGTAGTTTTTTTAGTGAATGAGTAATAAAGCTTAATATACGTTTCATCTTCTATAATTTATTTTAGTGTGTTAATATTTCATTTTTAAAACTGTTTGAGTTGTTATGATATTAGAGGAATTGGGATGATTTTTTTTTACAGAATTCGGTGTTGAGTGGTAAAAAAATCATCCCAATTCCTCTAATATCATATCATCTATAATAATATAATAAATAGAAAAATCTAATATAATAACAAGGAAGTGGAGAACAATACTGATAATAAACTGAAAGGATGAAATAAAAAATTTTTGATTACACTACCTAGCCATTAATTTAATATATGGGGTGGTATGAATGATTTATGTATTGTTCTCCTTTGACTATCATCAATAAATTATGTAATATACGAATTCTATTAATTATATGAATAATATTATCGAAAGCATTAATTACTTAAATAATAAAAACAATATTTTCCCACAGCCGCTCATTGTATGCACCAAAAGAGTAGCTACACTTCCATCAAAGATATCGTAATCAAAATAGGCGTGTACAATTTGGAGGACTGGGGAGACGATGCCTATGTCACCAGGACCCTTGAGGCTGCTTACATTCACGAGGCCTATAACGTCTCGACTCTAGCCAGTAAGTGACTTATCTTCATTTCATATCAGAAAAATCGTGTAGGCAATATAATCAACTGTAGTGAGGAAGGCTACTATAAAGATGATGTTGAGAGGACAAATGACTAAGTCCAGAGTTCGCATACATATAGTCTATTTATTTTAAAAGATTCATATTTAAAAGATTTATCTCCATGTTAGTGTTCTATACTCTAAACCACCTTGATTCTGAGAAGTGATAAAGCAAGAGGACTATAACGAACGTTACATTGTTATGTCGTGATGTTCCTCGTCTTAATTAATCTTTATCGGCGTCATAAACTTTTACATTAGCAAGATAAAATCCTTTATTTTACAAATTAAGTCCCATAACAAATTCATCGTTATTTATGTAACTGGAATGGCAAACAAGCTAACGGAAAATCTAATGGCAAGCATCCGTCTCATCGCCTATGAATGGCCATGGTCATCACGTAATCAAGTGATGCCATATATATCACTCAGGGACTAGGGTATCATGCCTTAATTTGCCTGCCTTACCCTGCAATTTTACTGCCGTATTTCAGCCTCCAACTGAAATTGAGTATAAGCAATCTGCTTGGCGGCTGGAGTAAGCTAGACAACCTGTTTTCAATGCCCATACAAACGATTTTATACCTCATTATGTATTATATGTAGTTTAATTTAGTAATAAATGAACATGAACGATTGATATTATGGTATAACGTTATACTTAATAATAATAATAGATATATCTATCTATAACTTTAGAAGTATAACAGATAATATTTTGTTTACAGATGACATATCAGTGTTCACGTTTGATAAAACCGTGGAATTCTCAACATTCATCAGACCGGCATGCCTGTGGAATGGCAATACAGATCTTAGTCGGATCGTTGGCGCTTCAGGTGTTGTAAGTACCCTTTTATAATATTTACCCAAGACACTTACAGTCGTTAATTAAATAATTACAATATTTTTTCAAATATAAGTAGTATAATTTTGTTAGTATTTTCTTTATGCCAAATTCGTTGATCTAGCGGCTTAGCCGCGTTATGCCGCTGTTCTTCTAATTATTGTGGGTTGGATACTGGAAGAACAAACAAGTTAACAAAATATGACAAACTTTAGTTATAGGATTGTAGACAGATCAAAATACAAATTCGTCAGAGAATTAACTTTATAACTTCGTAGGGCTGGTAGGTCCTTGTTTGATTTTTTGAGATGATACATAGTCTATGTCGGTCTTTTTTTTTTCTCTCTGGCAACACTGCCGATAACAGTTTTTGTCAGTTGGCTCTTATTTATTTATTGTTTTTAATTTATTACTTGTGAAATAACGATACTAGTGTATATAATCAGTGAGTTTTGGGCATAAGTAACGTCGATTATTGTTGGTGTGCAAATCTGTGATTTCTTTGTGACAAAAATCTACGTTACAAAATTTGTGGGACCGCCAACTGTCAAAGTATTGGTAATTTACAATAGAAGTCTTGGATTTCTATTGACTCCTTTAATAATTAAATACAGTTATTACACTTCACTATTACTATATCCGTTTACAAATAAACAATAATATTAAAGTTAAATATTCGATAGTGAAGATCGGTTGTTGTTGTTGAGAGGAAAAAAAAAACTACCCACTAACATAAAATATTATTGTTATTGCAATACAGCTCATAAAATTTATTTATTATCATATTGATAATATAGTCCAAATAGCTGTGCGAAACTAAACTTATGTATTTTATTAAATAACAATACAATATTAGTAATCCATAGCCATTGCTAGATATCATATGACAAATTAAGACATATTTACTGTAGTGGTAATATATAAGATTAATTATTTTTTTGTAACAGTATTGGTATTTAAAGTTTTTACTAACAATATTTATTTATTTATTTATTATTAAATTATTTATTGTATTATTTTATTGAAGGGAAATAGCGCACTTTCAACACTGTATTTCTTCTATTGAATAATATTCATTGTTGTCTTGTTTCGTAGATATTTAACATAATAATTAAAAATGATGTCCCGCAGAGCATGTGATCTTGATGCTAAGCTCAAGGTGACACTCTTAGAGTTAAAAAATCCAATGAATTAAATAAGGCCTTATTACAGGAACGAGATGAAAGTGAGATTGAAATTAAGTTGATGTCTGATAAATATGTGGCTCTGAAGAATGACCTAGTGAAGATCAGTACAGACTTTGAAGTTCTACATATCGAAAATGAAAAACTTCAAGAAATTGTAAATAAATATGATCTGTGCAGAGACACATATGAGTCAGCATTGCAGAAGATCACTCATCTAGAGCGGCACCTTGAGGAAGTTCAATCACAAAATAAATCTATGTTGGATCACAGGCGGTTGAGTAGTTATAACGAGACCATGGATCTGTATACAGAAATGTTAAATACTACTAGTGATCAAACATCTGCTCTGCCCCTTGTGACCATAGATTTGACAAATACACCAAGCTCCTATAGTCCTAATAAAGTACCTATTAATAGTAGTAATAAGTTAAAAAAATATGTAAAATTAAATAAATTTATTCGAAAATCAGAAAATTTAGTGAAAAGTCATAAAAAGTGTTTAAAATCAATTATTACTAGGAAGCAAAAAATTGACTTATCAATAGAATTAAATAATTGTAAAGAAAAAATATATAACAAAGATTTAGAAATAGATGAATTATCACAAAAAATTAAACTATTAGAGAACTCGTTGTCCAATTTATCTTTGAAATACGAATCAGCTAAGAATGAAATACATGAATATTCTGATCAGTTGGATAATTTAATAAAATTAGGTAACTACAACATGGAGCGGTTTGTTTCTCTTACGGATAGATGTCACTGTAATTCACCAGAGTCTGATAACTATATCCAACCGTCCCACCATAATCAGTTGAACATTGATATCTCATCCGTCACGGAACCAGACGTTTCATGTTTACCCACACGAAACAGTACAAAAGTAAATAAATGCAGCACTGTACATGAAACCATCAGGAGAACAATTATTTATTCAGATGAATTTGGCAAGGATTTAGGTAGTTTATTATCGAACTGTCTCTCGCAACAAGTAATGAATAATTGTTTTCCGGGATCAGGTATATATAAGATTATAAGAAATATAGTAAATGAAAAATATGATATTCACACGACCCTAGTAATAGCGTTAGGGAATTGTTTGCATATGCGTAAATCTGATATAGTTAATTTAATAAAATCATTATATAATATAGTGGAGCTTGGTATAGGTAAAATATTATTATGCGCATTTCCCTACTCTCAATCCCTGACTAATGAACAGAATAAGTTCATTTATAGTATAAATAATTTAATTTATTCGATGACATATCATTGTAATGATATATTTTATTTTGAAAGTAACAAATTTGTTACAAATTATTATATGACGGGAGGTAATTTTTATCTTCCTAAAAAACAAAAAAAGACTATTGCTAGTTTACTAGCGTATAACATTTATGATCCTATTATAAGTAGTATAACGGATTTAATTAGTAATATTAGTAATAATACTAATAATGTGACATGTGTTAATTTAAACTAACATCTACGACATTGGTTAAGCCACAGGATATGGTCATTATTCATCAAAATATTCGTGGCTTCTCCAGCAAAGAAATAGAATTAAGTCTATTCTTAGAATCTAACAATGTACGGGTGTTATGTCTGACAGAACATTGGCTTAAACAATGTGAAATAATTTGTCCTTTTGAACATTATAATATAGCTAGTTTTTTTGCTAGGAACAATGCCATTCATGGCGGGTCAATTATTATTTTAAAAAATGATGTAGAATATAAAAACCGTCAAGACATTGTAAATATTTCTATTGAGCAAACAATTGAACTATCTTGCGTAGAATTAGTTACTTGTATAATAATTTGCGTTTATCGTCCGCCATCGGCTTGTTTTGATTCTTTTGAACTGGCTATGGAGGAAGCATTGAGACGAGTCGCACGGAGGAATAAAACATTATTTGTATGTGGCGATTTTAATGTTGATTTATTATCGGAATGCTCAATAAGCTTAAGATTGATTAACTTATTTAAATCATTTAATTTGCACAATCTTTTTTTAGAACCCACTAGGGTCGCAGGAAATTCTGCCACTTGTATAGATAATGTTTTTTGTAATTGTGAAGTAAAGGTGAAAATGAATTTCGACTGTCTTGGATCTGATCATTATGGACAAAAAGTTATAATTGAAACTAAGGGATCCAAAGGGACTCAAACAATTACATGCAGACAAATAACACAAAAGAATTTGGCACGTTTTAAAAATAAAATTGAACATAAAATATCTAGTGTCATAGTACCTCAATATGACCCGGACATTGTATGTGAACATATTTTTAATTTAATTGAACATGAAGCTAGCAGTGAATTTAAAACAAAAACCTTTTCAACTAGTGTAAAATCAAAGTTTTGTGACTGGGCCACGTTTGGTATTTATAAGTCTAGGGCTAATCTTTACGAACTTTACGAAAAACGAAGCTATATATCCGATCCCTTATTTCATGAACATGTAAAATCTTATTCGAAAATATTTAAAAAGGTTTGTCATTCAGCTAAGTCTCTCTATTTAGGTAAAATAATAACTAAATCTAAAGATAAAATAAAAGCCACTTGGAAAGTAATAAATAGCGAAACTGGAAAAGTTAATTTTCAAAATAGTAAAATAGCTTTAAATATTAATAACAAATTGGTAAATTCCGACACAGAGGTCGCGGATACATTCGAATCTTATTTCACTAATATTCCATTAATTACGACACAGGCTCTAAAATCTTCCCCGTCTGCTGCTGAAACTTTACTAACAGACAATGTTAGCAAGTCATCAGCTGTATTTAACTTTAGACATACATCATCAGTAGAAATAATGAAAATATTCAAACAGCTTAACAATAAAAAAACAGAGGATCTATGGGGTATATCTGTTAAAATACTAGATAGTATAATGGAAATTATTGCGCCCTCTCTTGCTTTTATTTTCAATAAATGTATAGATGAAGGTAAATTTCCTAACATAATGAAAATTAGTAAAATCATACCGCTTTTTAAATCTGGAGATAGGAGTGACCCAATAAATTATAGACCTATATCTATACTCCCAGCACTCAGTAAAATTTTTGAAAAAATAATCCTTATGCAGCTTGTCAGTTATTTCAATTTAAATAATTTAATCCACAATAGTCAATTCGGTTTTTCCAAAGGTCGTTCAACTACAGACGCAGGTGCAGAGTTGCTTAGACACGTATTTGCTGCATGGGAAACTAAAATGGATGCGATAGGTGTTTTTTGTGACCTTTCTAAGGCTTTTGATTGCGTTGATCATAATACATTGCTAAAAAAACTTGCTTTTTATGGCGTCAAAGACAATGCTTTAAATTTAATAAAATCTTATCTATCTGATAGAATACAGAAAGTGAAGGTTAGCAACGCTACGTCTGACGGGTCACTTGTGCAAATGGGTGTACCTCAAGGATCTATTCTCGGTCCATTTTTATTCCTAGTTTACATTAATGATCTCCCATATGCCATGCAGGATAGATGCGGCATAGTATTATTTGCAGACGATACTTCATTGATTTTTAAAGTTAATAGAATGACTAATAATTATGACGATGTAAATAGTGCTTTGCGGCGTCTCCTGCACTGGTTTACAACTAACAATCTTATGTTAAACGCTAAAAAAACAAAATGTGTTAATTTCTCCTTGTCTAAAAGTTTTAATACTAATTGCAATATTAAATTAAATGACGAATCTCTCGAATTTATAGAATCTACTGTCTTTCTAGGAATCACACTAGATAATAAAACACAATGGGGTGCACAAATTCAAAGCCTTGCAGCGAAACTAAGTTCGGCAGCTTTTGCCGTGCGTAAGGTTAGACAGTACACTGATACTGATACTGCTAGATTAGTCTATTTTAGTTATTTTCATAGTTTACTCTCTTATGGAATATTACTATGGGGAAAAGCGGCAGATATTAAAGATATATTCATATTACAAAAACGTGCCGTTCGAGCGATCTACTGTATGAAGAGTCGTGACTCATTAAGAGAGAAATTCAAAGAGGCAAATATTCTCACCGTTGCTTCTCAATTTATATATTCAAATATCCTATATGTTCATAAAAATCTTGACTTATTTCCAAAAAACAGCAATATTCATAATATTAATACAAGATTTAAAGACAAACTTGCTGTCCCCAAGTATCGTTTAGAAAAAGTTAATAGGTCTTTTATGGGAATAGGTATAAAAATTTACAATAAGATACCAAAGGATATGTTGGAATTACCCTTAAATAAATTCAAAACATCTGTTAAATCATATTTACTGAGCAAAGCCTATTACTCACTAAACGATTACTTGAATGACGAGTGTGCATGGCAATAGTTGTTCATGCACTGAATTTTCATTTAATGTTAGACATATACACCTATATAAATATACATTGTAAATAAACTGGCTTTAAAAAAAAAGTAATTCAATTGAGTTTCTTGCCAGTTCTTCTCAATTGGATCTATATACCGAACTGGACGGTAGGGAAAAAAATAAAATTATAATGTAAAAATTTGACGTTCATAAGCGGCTAAAATGTCCTACATGAATAAATGATTTTTGAATTTGAATTTGAATTTGATATATAATCTATCTTTATGTCAAATCTCATCAAAATCTATTTTGTTGTGTAATTGTAACAGACAGACACACTTTCGTATTAATAATACTAATATTAAATGTCAAACATTTAAATACTGATTTAAAAATAACTGTTTCGTTTTATATTCACAAAGCTTGTCAAACTCAATTGGTTGTAGGTTGCCGGTTGGGGAAGAAATGAACTAGGTCCAGGTGGTCGCGGCGAGCCTCGCATGGTGAGAATACCGGTAGTGAGCACCGCCAATTGCCGCGCCAGTAAACCAGATTTCCATAAACTTACTTCAGCGAACACTTTATGCGCAGGTACATTAACAATAATTAATATACCTTTGTAAACATATTCCCTACGCGACTAAAATATACCAAAATTTCCTTATTCAGTTGACTTTAGTTGGATTTCAATTCCAACTCAACTCAAAATCCCTAATGGTCGTAAACCTGACAGTGCATATAGAGCCTGCAGGACTAACGAAGTGCTTCTGTATACATTACATTAACTCCCAAATAGCCTATTATAGAAAACAGGAGCACGTCTATTACAGGCAGGCACTTATGATATGTCAAATCTACCGTCCGTCATTCGGAATGTAGTTCGAGCCGAGAAGAACTGACGAAAGACTCTGGTCTTGCTCTTTCCAGATGCGATTATACATCATAATAATACAATTAACGCTTAGTTCTAAATACAATAGTGATTACCACCATGTGCTATAAAATTAATGTTGTGAAACAAAAATAATTCATACACCATTCCTTACAAGCAGCACGAAATTATATCGATAATTTATGCACATTATCTGTATATAGTGATTTTTTTATTATCTTTTATTTTTTAACGTACCTACTGTTGATATAATAAACGTTCTACTTACTCGCAAAACGCAATAAAATTAAGTTTTACTTTCTCTTCAATTCGAATGTGAAACAGGAATTTCACTGACCTAACTAAACACAGGAATTCATGAAAATAAAAACTGACTCATTTTTTGTAGGTGACCGTAACGGTGCTGGTCCGTGCCTCGGCGACTCCGGCAGCGGCCTCTACATCCTGGATAGCGGTCGATGGAGGATCCGAGGCGTGGTCTCATTATCTCTGAGACCAGAAAATGGCGACAGCACTTGTAACCTCAACGAATACATTGTCTTCACCGACGCCGCTCAATACCTCAAGTGGATAAAAGACGTCATGTCAAGATAATGCCATATTTCTACTAGTATTATTCGTTTCAATAAATCGAACTTAAGAAACCCTCCCTGCTGTGAAACGCCATATTTAATTTTGTGATTTTATATTGACATTACTTTTTTTAATAATATATTACACTAATGTGCCTTTTAAAATTGTATTCTATTTACGCAGATTTTTTCCAATATAAAGTGTATCATAGCCTATGTAATCGTTGTTTACAGTGGTTTTAGAATGATATTATACTTCTGAGGTTTATTTTTAAAATTTACTTTGTTATCTGTATGTACACACTACTAGATTAATTAGGTAGATAGACAATAATAAAAATATAAGTTCGATTTTTTTTAGTATATTGATATATATTCAACATTTTTTGACGATACGAAGAAGTGGTTACACCTCTTATACCCCCCAATTATGACAGGGTAATACAAACTTATTTCTAGTTTTACTTATCCCACAAATAGTTTTATGACAATAAAAAATATTTTGTTTTTTATAATAAACAATATATAAGCGTGAAGAAATCACATAAAGCTTACCTCTAAAATTGTAGTTCATCTATAACTTAGCTATTTTTATATAAATATTATGTACATGTAATTATTTAAATCATACATAGGATTAAATTATATAGTACCATATACCGATGAATTATTGTCTGAATTAATCAAAAATAACATATACGTAAGGTAATATATATTCTCAGTAAAAACATGATTGTGAATTAAGAATGACTGACATAAAATTATTGAATTCTCGGTATAAATTAGCATGATCTGCGATATAATAATAATTTAGGAAGTTTATATGTTTATACAATACAATATAGATATATATAACAGGAACATTCTTAGACCAACCGAATTTTTATGGTATGTACCTATAGGTTTAAGTATGTTCCGTGGTTTCTTTCGTGGGACGGCTTTCAATGATACTTTATGAAGAATAATTCCTAATCTTATTAAATTTGCATTGTCAGAGATGATTCAATTGTTGACATCGTGGTTAACTCAACAATCGACTTGCCCATATTTCTCTGGGTATAGGTAAATACAGTATCGTTATATTATAAAATTCATGCCTAAAGTCTCCCAATAATTCATTAATTTTCGAAGCAGGTGGGATAAATTAAGTTACCTAAATATACTTCGCCACCAATTATATTTAATTAATTAATTATTACCTCTGTAAGAACTTTTTTTGTAGACAATTTTCATTGTGAAACTTAGTCGAAATAACTATCTTAACTAAATTTTCGCATACACTGAATTTTGTAAATAAATAGCACTAAGCTAATACACATGTTTTTTATTTATATTTAAACCCAATTATTATTATATAAATCGTATATATTTATTCTTTAACCTATTTATTAAGATACGATTGACAGTAGTTGTCTTATCATTTGCTGTAAGTTTGGTCTAATCATGTAGTTCACCTACCTATTTTAATGCTCCAACTATTCTCGAACCGACCGTTCGTACTCCAGTCATAGACTAGGAAGTACCCACCTAAATTATAATGAAAATATATATATATATATATATATATATATATATATATATATAATTATATAGGCAATCCTAACACATTAATAACCACTTAAAAAAACTTGTTGCGCGTCTTATTGGTTATTCATTTATAAATAATAACAGTATATATTTTTATTAAGGGCTATACTCGTTCCCATTTTCATCACAAATTATATAGAAATATTATGCGGAGTATGGACCATGGTAATACTATGGGTTATCCTCTCTTATAAGCATAGATAATAAAAACATGAGGGTATTTAATAAAAACAAATGCACAGTACACTACTCTGTACTACAAATCCGAAAGACAGCTGTGTCTTGGTGACACATAATTGGACATAACATGACATATTCTGTCATTGTTGTATACCTCTAATAATTTTAAATTTGTTTCGATTAACTTCTATTGAAATTGGTATTTAACCATAGAATTGAATTAATAATTATAATTAAATATTCACCTTCTCTAGGGAAAAAAACTCTTCATTAACAAATAAAAAAAACGATGGTCACAAACAAAAATCTTACATGAGCACGAACTTAAGATATACAATTTTATTTACAATTATAAAATTACATATATTTCTTCATTATTAAGTCATGTCATTTAAGTGGTATAAATTATCATGCAATTTTAAAGAGCTCCAATTAATCGGTACCTTAAATGGTGGTCAAAGTTTCAGGTAAATATTATACTTTAAACTATTTTATTCTGTAGGTAAAACATTCCCGCGAAATTCGTTACTATTATAGTATACCGTTGTTTATTAATTATTCATATTAAGTTGTATTATTTCCTATTTGATTAGTTTATGTACATAAACTTTTTAAAATGTTACTCCTCTGTTGAAATAAAAAAAATATGGAATTCTTAAGAATTTAATAAATATAATAAGACTTATCCTAAGTGAAGATTAATAAAGGAGGTAGTAATTGGTTAATAAACAGCTTCATTAGGTTTTAAATACAAGTAACTAGTTATTTTTATAGCATATTAATATTTCATTTTACAAATATTTCTTAACAATTTATAATAAATTAAACTTAATCAAGTGTGTAATATATTTTTAAGGTATATTGTATTGTCATTACAATGTTAGCAATTTCTATTTTCAAATATTAGGTGGACACATGATGAAAATAGTAATGAATGGACTGGTGTTTTTGCAAGAACAGTATGGAAGTTAAAACATGAAGACAATTATTTAAATTATCAAGTAATTGGTACCTTACACAGGTCAGATACTGGAAATAATTTTTTTGGGATACTTCTGGAAAAATATCTTCGTCTTGATTTAGACTTGATTAAATATTATGAAGAATGGTCTTCTAAAGATGAACTGTTCAAGTCAGCTTGTAAACAATTCTTTGGAATTAGAATTTTGAATCAAGAACCAGTGGAAAATTTATTTTCATTTATTTGTAGTCAAAACAATCATATATCAAGGTCAGTAACACTTATTTATTAGTTATTATAGAAATTCATAGTAAAGATACTTTAATATGAAATTTTAAATTTATGGCCCGATTTTCCAAGCATACCTATATTTTGTTTTATTTAATATTTTTACTACACCTGATTACTATATGGTAATCTAATATCACTAAGTAATTAAATGTCACAGTTAAAACATCCAATTTCCTAGAATTCTTGCCTGTAGTATGTAGCCTCAATTTATTAACCGTTAAGTAGAAAATACTTAACGGTTAATAAATTGAGTAATATTTTGTTTATTTATGTACATATAATAATATTCTTTGTAATACCTAATTATATTGAGTTTTATTTTGTTAATAATCATTAAAGTTAAAATCCGTAATTTTCTAGAATTTCATCAATGGTTGAAAAGTTGTGTCTGCATTATGGTGAAGAAATATGTACACATAATGAAGTTAAATATTATTCATTCCCATCTGTTGAAAAACTTGCACAGCCAGAGGTAAATTTATTAATTTATAAACTATGTAATATTTATATATATAAATTTATTTTCTGCACAGCCATGAATTTGTAAATAATTCTGTTCTCTTAATTTATGCGAGGTGTGTGTGTTGTAACAACATATAAAACAGAAAAATGAAAGAAGGATACACATCAAACAAATATAATAATGACAATAGTCATTTATATTATATATTCATCTTCTTTATGTCTATATATAGACAAAGATATCATTGATAATAATATATGAATAAAATACATAGGAATAAAAAAAACACTTTTTAAAGCCTTTTAAATATAGCATTTCTGATATTGAAACAAACAATTATATGGTGCTTTTGCAGTAGTAATTAAATGCTAATTCAATTAACCCTTTTTGTAGGTGGAGTCTAAATTAAGGAATCTGGGATTTGGGTATAGAGCTAAATTTATACAAACAGCTGCAACACAAATTGTTGCATGGGGTGGTGAAGAATGGTTCAACAGTTTGAAGGATATGAAATACAAAGAGTCCAGACAAGAACTGATGAAATTATATGGAATAGGCCCAAAGGTAAACTAACAGATTTTTTTCTTCATCCTTAATCAGCCTTCTAAATAAGAGCAGATACCACATCTGTTCCTAAATATAATAATCCTTGTGATAAATGTGATGAATGAATAAATGAATGAATTCATATAAGTTCAATATAATTTTTCAGGTTGCCGATTGTATATGTCTAATGTCACTCAGTCATTTAGAGGCGGTACCAGTTGACACTCATGTGTATCAAATAGCCGCACAGAATTATTTGCCACACCTTAGAGGCAAGAAGAGTGTAACAGAGAAGATGTATGTTGAGATTGGAGATCATTTTCGGAAATTGTATGGAGATATGGCTGGATGGGCTCACACTGTGAGTATTGAGATTTTTTCCGACGAGCCGTAGTTTTTACATCTATCTATTTTGTAGATTGTCATGATTACCATCTAGACTTGATTGACAGATGAGCTAGTACACTCATTGAAGACGAGTCACTCGTATCTAAGAAGCTTCAAAGTGTTAATCATCACTGTGAAGTATCTTGTCGCTCAGAGTTCTACAAGCTGCATTTCGGTTAGTGTTCACGAACTCTGTAACCTAAAGGTCCTACATCAAGCTTCACAATCATTAAAGAAGACATAGGAAGTAATTGCACCCATACACTATTGACATAGGGATGACAACAGTATATAGGTGTAACAGTGTAAAGATGATGTAAAGCATACAAGCCGCAGGGTCTGTCCATAGGCTTTGCATCATCTTTCCTTATTCAATAATAAAGGACATTCCGGAGGAGGAAAGGAGATTCCGGTTAAACACGCTTAAATTACATAATAAAAATCACTTATAAAATAAATTGAAGGTGGAAGGGACAAAAACATAGAAAGAAAAATCTTGCGCTATTGCTCTTGCTAATTAGTTTGGAAAGAATAACTTAAAAAAAAAATAATCACAAACAATTCATAAACTCTATTAAAATTTCGAAAATTTCCTTGCAGGTACTATTCTGTGCTGATTTGAAGAAATTTCAGCAAAATTGTAGTAATGAATCATGTGAAGGAAAGGTGAAGAGGAGAAAGAAATAAATAACTGTGATACAATTAATAGTCTTTTTTATGTTTCTTTTGTGATTTAATACAAAAGTGTAAAATATATTACTATTCTAAAATTATTACAGATCAGTAATTATTTAAAAAATACATATAAAAGTAAATATGGAATGGTTTATAAAGAAATCTTTTTGAAAGATCCAATTATTACACTATCACAAATTGATATTTTTAGCTTAAACAATTTACGTAAAATTAATATAAATAAAACATTTTTTTTAGAAAATGGATGCCAAATTACGTAATAAGTTTTATATAAAAAAACACTAATAAATCTATGTAAGACAATATTTGACAATATTAATATTAATATTACTATTTAAAATTAAGATGACCGACATGAATGAGCAATTTTATAAACTATCGGAGACTGCGACTTTGTACTGGGCGCAATATTTAATTTTTTTGTAAACCAATTGGTATTACATTAAATTTTAAGTGAAGCTTGCCAGAATATTTAATGAAATCTGCACCCAAATCGCGCAAAACAGAAAATATCTGACAATTATTATCTACTTTCATAAAGTAAGTTGATAATATACACCAATAATAGTTTTTTTTATTTATAAATAGAAAAACTGTTATTGATGTACTTTATCAACCAAATAAAAATTCAAAATTGATGTCCATATACACAGCGATAAGTTGCATTTTTATTACATGTATAGATATAATAATAGTAGTATATGGACTTAGCATGACTACTTCATATACAATTTCTTTGTATTTGCATTTATACAAATAAATTCATATAAAATTATTTATAAAGAAATCAAATATTTCAAAGGAAGAAGTGAATGAATCTTAATTTAAAAAATAGTATTTATAAATATTTTTTTATTTTCCTTTGTTCAATTAGATAGGCTTCGGGTATAGGTCATTTTGCCTCATCTTTGGTATAAATTCAATGTGTAAGAATGAGTGAAAAGTGAGATTCAACTACAGGTTATATACATACTACAGTTCGAAACATTTCTATATATGTTTTACTGGTAAGCAGTATCTTAGGACTTCATTGTGTAGGTAACTAGGTACCAAAATTCTATCAGTAGTAAATAAAATATTAGACATATTCCTTTCAAAATTAAGTATCTAAAAATATATAATACACTGGATAAAAAAAATGTAAAAATAAAATCAGTCCTATTTAGTTCTTAAAATAATTTTAGCGCATAATTAGGAACTTACCTAGGAAATAAAGGATTATACGAAAGAAATTAAATATGTATTGCACATAAATTTTAGCAAATTATTGAAATATCTCATCGTCATGAGTGATTTTTATAGCATTACTCTCCAGAATAGAGTTCAATTTAAAAGCTCAAATCTGAAGTCCCTACCATAAACTAAGTCAACAAGGATGTCCTTATTACTTATTACCGTAATAGATCTGTGGACAGTTCTCTATGAGAGCTTGCAGAGCGCGTATTTCGAATGCCAAGTCCGTTATAGCTGGAGGCGTCGCGACAAGAGTGGGTGCGAACACTGTGCTTAGGTTATGAGGACTCATCTTGTTCACTTCCGACTGCTGCGCTACCCTGAGATATACATAAGTACAATATAATATATATATATATATATATACATAAGTCCAAACTATACTAACATTACACAGTTAAAGGTTGTGAACTTGGATGTTTGGGATAAACTCCTGATCTGATTTTAAAAATTATTTTAGTGTTGAACGTGCATACATTGAGGACGAAGTCGAGTCGAGAGTATCGGCTATATATCATCACTCTACGACCAATAGGAGCAGAGATGCAATAAGAAATATTGCAAAAACAGGAAATGTAACACAGACAACGTGTTAGTTCATCCAGGGCTACTAAAATATTGGAATAGAAGTATTTATAATATACTGAAGAGTAAGTTAGTAGTATATATTTTAAAATAAAAAAATAGTAATTTTAATCTTAAATCTAATCTCAATGTCGAGATCGACCTCAGTCAATTTGCACCTTTAAACTGTAGGTACAGTTCAAAGGCCCAAAACGGTAGATTCCTACGTCGATCGATTGGACACAGACAACATAATGTAATATAACTCAGTAAAATATTAAACAAAACATACCTATACAAATGTTGCACCATATATTGTAGACAGTTGAAATGAGCTGGTGGTAACTTGTCCAAGCATTCTCGCAACATTGCAATCTGTGCAGCAGTTGTTTTCATTTCTGCAATGAAATAAAGAATATATGCCTTAAAATGTGTCTATTAATTAAATAGCCGAAATTGAAGTTTTAAGGTTAATGCAAAAAATGCTAACCCGTGACAGCACTCATGCGTGGCAACGTATCACCATCTTATTCCTTGGGAATGGCAAGATATTACAACCAAGACAAGAATAAGATATTACAACGCTTTTTCTGTAATTTCACTGCATCAAGCTTACTTAATGTAATAGCTCACAAAGTATGCTGCTTGGCGGTTGAGATACGTAGGGGTACACACTCTACGACTCTCATGACTTTTTAGTCTATATTTTAGGTTTACATACTAATTTGACAGACATTCTACCCAATTAGGCTAATGATTCAATCTTCATATTATTGGTCGGTAAAAAAAAATCTTCACATCAAAATGCTCAGTAACGCGCGAGTGATTCTAATTATAGAAGCGAAAGTGAGTGTGTTACGCTTTCACACCGTAATGGCTTATCCAATCATCATGAAATTTGAGATTTAGGTTGTACAAGGACATATAATAGTATTTTATTCCTACCAGACACGTGGAAGAATTTACGCGCAGAAGCTAATACCTTCTAAAATTTGATAGAGCGCTATGGCCGTTTAAAAACATGTATTAACTTCCAGTATAGTTACAATAAAAAAGTTGTGGGCAATAAATATATACTTACGAATCGCTTCCACTAACTTTGGATGCACTTCGTAAGTGACGAGAGGAACCGGCAGCAATCGTAAATACAACTTCAGCGTTCCGGCTACGACGTTTATATTGCTGTACACACTGAGATCTGTCGCTTCACCATCTGTTGAACAATTGTTTCATTACTTAATAATACTGTGTTCAGACCACTTTTTTGATCATATTTGTAGTGGTACCACATAGAAGAACTACCAGCAATCAAATAGAAAAAGGGTCAGTAAAATCGGTTCACGTATAAGAATATCGCATCGCATCGGAAACATAAAAAATACCTTAACTATACAAGCTGTCTATGGTTAATATACGTACCTTTATCAAATGCCATTTTCAGAGCTTCAATCTCATCTGCAAATCCGGAAACTCGATATATACCCTCCGAGTCCATTCCTCTAGCTTCAATCTCTATTACACACTTCTTGACTACAAATGGGAGCGTGCTGGCGTGAGCGTTCAATAATGTTGTTAGATCTATACCAAACACACCTCGGAGCTTTTTGAGATCAGGTACGCAATGATTGGGTACTCTCTCGGAGCATTTGGAATGTGCTATGAAGCCACAATCTAAAAATACACATTAAAACTTTGCTTATTCTTTCCAAATTGGTTCGGGTATTATTAATACAAATATATAGCTACTAGTTGTGCTCGCGGTTTCACCCGCGTTAGATTTCAATATATAATATGGCCTATGTTTTATTCTGATACATAATCAATATAACTGTAAAGTTTCGAAAAAGTCGTTCAGTAAGTCGTTGTGTGAAAGAGTAACAAACATCCATCCATACACATAAACTTTCGCGTTTATAATATTATTAAGATTGACTTGTTGTTCGAACTCAGAATCGTAATTGAAATTACTATATTATTATATGATATTACATTTTACTAGTTACCCGAACGGCATGCACGGTCAGACTCATATATTCACTTAGGATACATCTTCTGTCACTTATGAACATCAACATTCTTTATTACTATCCATACCGTCCAGTTCAGCTAGCTACTTCAGTTTTAATTACATTTAAGAGTTAAAACAATGTAAGAACTAAAAATATTACCGGCAAATCTAACAATTTTGCAATTTTTTTTATAATAATAATAATTGAATTATTTGAGATTGATTTTGGGTACAGTACAAGATGATAATGAAGACAATTTGAAGAAAATCTGCTTATATGAAACGTATAATTATTTATCGAGTATCTTACTACTATATTCACCGCCACCATTTGATTTTTTTGGCAGCATAAAGGAAGGGACACCTTACCTTCACATTTGACACCTTGCGCAGTAAATCCCCAAAGGAAATTTGCGCACAGTTCACACCAGTTCAATCCCTTAAATGTATGTACTTTGAAACTGTGACACTTCGAATATTTGATTAGGAGGGGATTATCTTCTAGACTTGGAGTCAGATCAAATGTTGGTTTCTTAGTCTCGATGTCCAATTCTACATTCTGTTCAGTCTTATTAAATAGAGGACTTGATCTGTTCGAACTCCTAAAAATAAGTCAAGATTCATAGGAAACATAAAAAAATTACTGTGAATTCATATTTTGACTAACTCTCCAATAATGTAAATACCGACAGGAACCTAATAATAAATTAGTCTTAAACTACGGTACGGAATCACGTTTAATTTAAATATTCCTACAATGTCGACAGCTGATACTGGGATTTAATCGTGAGTACATTTTTTTTACAAGTTTAGATAAAATAGATAGACCAAATAGAAAACTCATGAAAGTGGTTCAGTTTCCTTAAATGAAAGTTTCTTAAACACATCACGCAAACTGCATGGATACGTAATTAATTTACTATGAAAAAGGAGATTATAATCTAGTAAATATATTGATTCATATTTTTTCTGGGAATACAATAGTGACGTAATCAAACTAATACTGATTTTTTATCTCTTCCTAATCGTAATAATACTCGCCGTGCTCTAAACTTAGGCAGTGTGGACTATGCAGTCTATGTCCCTTATAATAAGTTACAGAAAAGCCTGAAAACTATTGCTTTGTAAAAACTACATAATTAGTAATCATTACGAGTGGATGTTTGAGTTAAAAATTAGTTCAAATCCATTGACTGGCAAGCCATGTATTCTCTGTCAAATCTTCAATCACAAACATGAAAACATTTTGTGCAATAGATCTCATTTTTAATAATAATCTGCATTTATTAATAAAAAAAATGCGATAATGAATTTATGCTTAAAGCTTTAAAGTCTATTATTTAAGTCGACAGTCAGGTATTACTATCATTTCAATGTGTACAAAATTATTTTTGAGTTCCAATAAAGATTATTATAATATTAGCATAATAACTGCATAAAAACTAAAAAAATGGGATTACCAGTTTTTTCTTTTAATGCAGTTGTTATGGTTGCAATATGTATAAAATTAAATACAAATATATTTAATAAAAAATATTACTGCTTAATTTGTGACAAAGTGTTCAACTTCCGCCTGTTGAGTGTGACATAAGGACTGTCTGTATATTTGGTTCGATGTTGTTCTGAGTTGATCATCTCCAATATGTGGTTGGCTTTCAGCTCCATATGACAGGTAATTAGACCATCCCTGACTAGGTCATGTACTGTTTCATATCTCTTATCTTTCATGTAATGCTTTCCATCATAATACAGTTTATAATGGTGTATTTTATCATTAAACCTGGAATTAAGTCCTGTTATTATATACATAGTATTAATACAGTGTACTTAATTATAGCTAGCAATTATTGTCTTTCCAATGTTGTCTATTACATGCAACACTAATTTTGATAGACACAATAATAATTATATTATTTACATAATCTATCCAATAGTGATATAATGCAGATATATATCATGTAGATCAGTGAATCCCTTTATAGTTTTTGCTGCATACGACTTCAAAAAGGACCTCAAACCTTGCATATTTATAAATGTGAAAGTTTGTGAGTGTGTGTATGTTTGTTTTACTTATGTACCGTGTAGCCGCATGTACCCCTTAATGTAACTTCACATACCCCTGGGGGCATGCATACCACTAATTGGGAAACGCTGATGTAGATCATCTAATATAGGCAAACTAAATCACAATATTAAGTAAATACTCATACTAGTTGTAAATACAGATGAAATACAGACTTTGGCAGGAGTTTATTATAATTTACCTCCTTATTATTTACTAATATTATAAATATGAGTTTGAAAGTATGGATAGTTGGATGTTTGTTACTCCTTCATGCAAAAACTACTGAACAGATTCTGAAACTTTACAGTAACCTTAGTAGTAAAGCTTACACATCAGAATAACATATTGACTACAAATTTCATATGGTTGAAACCGTGGGAACAGCTAGTTAATACATAATTCCAAATTAAGCTATGTTTTTCTTTTGTAAAAGTTGCATTTACATTATGGCATCTATAGATTAAGTGGGCCTATTTCTCAAAATTTACACTATCATAAAGTTTCTACATTAGTATGTACAGCAGTAAACAAATAATAGCAATCATTCAATTGAAGCAAAGTGTTTATATACCAAAATAAATAACATCCTAATTTGTCCAAGAGTTAAGTTTGTTTGAAGAAAGATTATTTCTATTCTATTTTTATTAAGTTACTTCCTATTTACATTAGTATAAAAAAAGAGGTAGAACATAAATATTAAATCTATAGTATGTAAATTTATTCTACTAGAACAAGAAACTTACCTCAATGTCAGTGTATAAAAATCATTGCATTGATTTCCTTTCCTAATTATATATGCACCATTAGGTTCATTTTCTAATAACAAAGTTGCCTCTTTGTGACCTACAACTCCATGGTATTCTTTGCCATAAAACTCAGGTCTGTCAGGACAGTTTTCACATATTATTCTCTTTGGCAAAGGAGCTTCCAGCTGAATTTTATACACTGAAAATTTATGAATATTGTTTTAAGGGTGAATATAGAGTGACATAATAACTTGCGCTAACAGTATATATTGGGGGACTCCTAGTGGAGGATGATAGGATTAACATGAACTGGTAACCGCACTTAACAGTTACTTGTATCATTGAATTGACCATTTCCACAGGGTACAGGGCACAGAGGTCAACCTGATAGGGTTCATTATATTAGGGGGCTATAATTGTACCATCTGAGACATGGTAAATTCATCCTGTAACCGTCTACCTAAAAATCTGCACAATATGGTTTTTTTAAATAATAAGTAGTAATTATGTTATTAATGTCATACTCTTCCTGTGCCTCGGGCACTCGAAAGATTCGGCCTCAGCCATTTGGGCGGAAATCCGTAGTTATCTGCTCACTGTGTCATCTTATTGTTACCCCACTGGGTGTAAGCAGTTATAATCACTACCGCCATGCCAGCATTATCGTACAACTGCCCATATAGGACTATCATCTATATCAAATGAGTTAAAGTCAGAACGGAACCCTAGTACCCTAATCATCAAATTAAGAGACCGTTGACACAGTACTTACGCTCCGGTTTCCAAATATTTTTCAGATTTTCCATGGTTAATATTTATTTGAATATGTACTTGCTATCCACTTTATCTCAATAACTATGTCAAGGTTCCTAATATTCAAGGAACTGAAATAAATTAAATAGGAAATACATTAATCAGACAAACAAATCCTAACATAAACAAAAAATATAAATATACAGTACGGAATCCAGAATACGTCACGTTAGTGACATTGACAATAAGGTTTGACATTAGTTCTTCAATGGAGTTATTACATTATCAAATATAAAACAATGTATTGTAGAAGAAAGTCACACATTCATTAAATTACTATAAGTGGTATATATGGTATGTATATTGTTGAATGCCAGTAAATGATGATAAATAAACTTATCACCGAAATGAACTCACCAGAAATTTATCACGATGGTTTCCAGAGGAAAACGCATGAAGGTCGTTTTTACTATTGGTCCATTATTTACTAGCAAATGGAATTATTATTTATGGCGAATTAACTACGAAGGAGATGGGGGGGGGGCTGGAAATCGATCTGATAGGGTACATCGCTGGCAATGAAGCTACTATTAATCGTAGCTAGTGGCAATTTTTTTTTCTCTTAAATAGAATTTGGTTAACGGGTTAACAGTAACAGTATCTACCTTAAGATTCTGAAATATAGCGTTGTGTTCGTCAGAGAGGCAAACTAAAGCGGTTTAAGGGTTTTTTTTTTATTTTAGATAATGGAGTAAATATGCTCTAAAATATTGAGTATATATTTTGATGACAATGTATTGTAATTTAAAAAACGCGTAGGTAACATGTTTGATTATTTTGATGGCCCCGGTGGTGTCACAGGTTCGATTCCTCGCATGTTGCAAACACTTGTTTTTATGAATATTTTAGTGTAATTATATTTTTATTAACAATGTGATATTCTGATATCGTTTACGTAGGTGTATAATATACAATATGAAGTATACACATACAGTGCGGGATACGCCGATATAAATTAACTACAAATTTATCTATATGCATTTGGAAAATATTTATAGATACATATATGTATTAATATACAACTAGACATCGTTCATCTTTCAACAGTCTGGGTTAACTTTTTCTTCTGTATGTTTATAACAACATAGTAGATATAAGATATTGTGTTACTCGAAAACGTCAACCAGACCTGAAATATTAAATATATTTAATAAAATATTTCTATGTAGGAAGGGTGTCGTAATCTAGTGGTTCAATACCTGTCTTCAAAGGTCGTGAGTTTGAATCTGACCGAATTAAATAAATCGGCACCAAAAAATAGGAACATTGCGTGTTGACATTTTTAACTGACTCTCGAAAGCATTGATAAAGAAATGAAATTAACACACTAGACTTATACCAATGCATCGAGTGTTACAAAAGCCTACGTAGGTTAATTAATAAATAAAGATAACATAAAATTTATTATGGTTTAAGATGGTAATGACCCACTAAGTATATCATTATTTGATTTCCTATATGCGGGTTTCCTAAATCTAAAATTGAATGTTAATTGCTGTAAAAGATTAGGTATGGCCATAGAGGACTACATATAAACAGAGTGTAAGCTTGAGCAATATCCAATCAAACAAAACGTGAACAATTCAAACAATGTTACGAAAATTATAAAACTGTGGCATCCATAGTTTATAGCTATTGTTACATTACCGTGAAACAGTTATAGCATTCTAGATCACTGTTTTTAACTTGTGGTTCGGGAAAATATATGACGATCTACAGCTTCTCCCTGGACTATATGACAATAAAAAAATAGTTTTAACTTACTGTTCCAAGGATGCCTTCAGAATTATGCTGGATTATTCTAGGCCTATTTAAGTAATCGGAAACCGACGAAACGTATTCGGTTGGTTCGTGTCTATTTGCTATTGTGGATATTGTCATTAAGAAGATTACATAAAAAGATCACTAATTTAAACTCTAAATTTCTGACAACAAAGAACTGTAATTTTCTTTCATATACCTAAGTTATAGAATCTAATTCAAGGGGCTGGTTTATCATTAAATTGAAAAGAATAATTTGAAAATATATTTTTGAGGTGTGAGTATCCTCAACAGTACAGTTTTATCTCTCAACACATGGAATTGCATGCTACATATTAAATATATCTGTGACAGAACGTGGCTCAAAGAAGTGCTGGTTTTAAAAGGTTTACTTATACGCTAATATCCTGAATGAAATATCCTCCGTTAGTAAAGACGGCTAAAAACATTGGAACTGCTAAATACATTGGAACCATCTTAAGGTACGCCTACACATACATTTATTCAGACTAATATTTATGAGAATTTCTGAGATTGAAAGCAACGTAGTGTAAAGAGAAAAAAATATTATATTTTTATTTGATGTAGTAGGTATACAATGCAACAAGACTGAAATGGGGTACAATGTAAAATCGTTGGCACATTACATATTATAAATGCCAGTGTGCTTACCTATCAAACTATTTATAACGGGAGCTTAATGAAATTTGACGTGAAGAGAAATTATATCTCGAGGACTTCTTTCAAATCTCAAAAGACAATCTCGTGGATAAATAGCTAGGAGCTTAATAAATCATATCTGATTATTTAAACATTTAACTACCTTCAACTTTGGAAATAGAAACAAAAATTAAGTAACATTTATTTTACATTGACCAGATTTTTTTACGTGATTTTAACTAACTGTCAAGGGTAGAAAAATTAAAATCCTAGTAATGTTTTTGGTTTTATCACTCTTCTGAATGTACATTCAGGCATGCAGACTGAGCAAGGAATAGAGATGTTGCCTGTTTTTAGAAATATAATATAATTGCGCAAGTTTTCATTTTTATGATGTTATTTGAATACAAAGCAAAAAATACCATAAATTCATAACCTGACCCGTGAATTTTGTGGCATTATATAGTCTGTATGATTGTAAATCTAATAAATGTAAGAGTTAGCTAAAAGGTAGCTTTTTCAATTCTTGGTAGTTCATTCTGCCTATGGCTGCATATCTATTAAGAGCATACGGCCAGCAGCACAACATCCAATATTATATTGGAAATTGTGCTATTGTACGTGTATCTGATGGTTGTTTTAAACATCACATTACAAACAAAATATGTTTTTTATGACTCCCTATTTGTAGTTAAGTTAGATTAAATTATTAAGTATTCTATAGATTGTATATTTTAATAAAATTATAGTATATAACCGAATTTCGTGATGGCGCCCTCCTTTGACGAGGCGCCCGCATGCTCCGCATGCGTTGCATGCCCGTTTCCGCTGGCCCTGCCAATATATTGCTATTCACAGAGCAAAGAGGTAGAGTCACTCATTATAAAGAGGTAGGTCTACCTCTTTGTTTTGTGTTGCTATCCAATACTAAGTTATCTACTTAACATCCGTCTTATTATACTATGACGTCGTGTTCCCGATACGCTAAATAGGTTTTTCAATTATTCATGGAAAGATAAAACGACATTGCACCTCACGCTGAGTTCTTGGCGCGGTAGCCAGACATGTCTGCTCAATTTAACGACCTCAGTGGTCTAACGGTGTAGCACACCGCCTTACTTCCGATGGTCGCGGGTTCAAATCCTAACTCGGTACAAAAATGTATATATGAGTATGATTGTTTGTATACGGTCACGATGTTTTCTATGTATATTAAAAAAATATATTTATATCAGCTGTCTAGAACTCTCAACACAAGCTCTGCTTACCTTAGAATAAAATGACGCGCTGCGAATTGTCCAGGTACATAATGCCCATTCAATTATATGTATTTCTAAAAAATAGTATTATTTTTTAGAAATACATATAATTGTATTTTATAGTAGTAGTGTATTTTATATAGTGTACCTATATGTATACATATATAGGTACACTATATAAAATACACTATATCCTTGTGTATAAAACAGTATACTGTTCTTCTTCGGCAAACATTGTGGTATATTATAATATACCACAATGTTTGCCGAAGATAAAATCCGTAACTAGTACTTTAAATACATACGTACATACACTTATATTCTACTTTATGTTACGCAAGTCTTATTATCTACTAATTTAGACTTTGAATTAAAGTCTCTAGTAACTTCAACAATGATGACATTTCCTGATGATCTTCCGTTCCCCTTCAGAAATAAATAAAATGAGTAATTATTTTATTTAAATAGGCAATTAAATTGTAATGCTAACTAATAAGCTTTAGATTAACAAGTGCATAATGTTTTGCATACAAATTAATCGTAAAGTATATATAATAGTATAAGTAATCTAGTCGACACAACAGCCCGCAGACCAACAAATAAATATAGACGGAACATAAATTCTTTTTATGAATGATTACGAAATATTATACATACACATACATTACGTTTACTTTAATAAAAATATATAATTTAATAAAGTTGTTTACTATATCATACATGCTAACATGGCGTCAGTGAATGATATTCTAATGCTCAGTTAGCCTACTGTAGGCTCTGTTCTATTGAATTCTTCACCAGAACTTCATAATAATCCACGACGGTTTCCACGGACGACCGCGTGGAGATCGAATTCACCTGGTAGATGCATTGCCTGTAATAGGGTTACCAGTTGTCGTGCCTAAAAATCGGCTCTTCTTTAAAAAAATATTTATTCTGGCATATACATTGCCTGTAATGGAGTTTCCATAACTAAAAATGAGCTCTTCCTTAAAGAAACACGCTGCTATTATTCATCAAATCGAAGGTATTTTTAACAATTAACAGCTAAAAAGTCGTCTAAGATACTAAAGAGATGAATTAAATTTATATGTGGGTGAGCGAGTAGTGCGTTTAATTGTTATTAGTATAAGCATATGCAGATTTAGTTTATTCTACTCTTATTAGATTCGCCTAGAGTGATCTATCTATACCTATCATAGGCCCGTTTACAGCATGAAGTATGGACTGTTGTCATTGGTATAAAGAAATGGTATGTATAAAAGCCAATTAGCGGAGTATAATAGAATAAGTTAGTCGAATAAGGAGGAACATTTTTGGGATATATTAAACAGTTTTCTCTTTTCTATGTGTACCATGGCTAGCGCAGTTGGGATGGTGTTGATATATAGTAGACACTTATTTTTGTAATATATTAGCTTATGATAGAAAGTGTATGGTATACGTAGATACATATGCATTTAATATTATTATTAGCTTGGCGTTGGCCAGATTCGAACTGTTGGGTCAGGAAATCTGATCAAATATAGATCCTTCACTATTTATTTTAAGTAAAAGTAGTAAATAAGCATATAGCATGCTTGATGGTAAATCGGTACTACAACGTATTAACTAACAACACCAAGAATATTAGCGGTCACTCCATCATGCTTACATTACTAGTATAGTAATACTGGTATTATATTGCCAAAAACAGGGCTCAAATTAGCAGAAATATGTAAGAGAGAACTCTCTCTCTCTCTCTCTGTCTCTCTCTGTCATACACATATTTCTGAGAGAGAAAGAGAGAGGGAGATTTGTCGGTTACAATTACCAGAAAGGTAGTTCTAAACTAACATATTAGCGGCGGTTAAGTTCTAACTCACACCCGCTGAGATCTTTGAAGAGTCACCGTAAACCACGAGGTTACGACATTCTCGTGTTATCATGCAAGTCCTTACCTACATTTATCAAAATATAAATAAATACTGCAATTGCCGGAAGTGCTACAGTAACAATCTTCCGCGGCCTTCGCCACACACGCTGCCGTACAAACCATAGCCTTTGATAAACAAAATAAAGGGGTATATATAAAGAAAGTGTTTACGATTTCGTTACTTGGTATAAAACAGCCACGCTAATTATTCAGTAAAATAAATTATATTTGTCAGAGTAAAATGAGACATTACGCTTTAGTACTGGTTGCGTTAGCATTTGTTACAATTAATTGCGCCAATTGTTGGGTTTTCAATGATATTGATTTCGACCAACTAGCAAGGACTGCTGGTGATTCGGATAATGAAATATCTGATGAAGACTTGAAACAATTGAGATTAGGTTTGGTATATCCAGGTCAGTATTCCTATAAAATTGTGTTTACCTGTGTATATATTTTATGTTATCTTGTACATTAATTTCAACTGATTTTGTAATTTCTTTGTGGATACACCTGGGAGTAATCTTTCTAAATTTCAAAAAGAATCATCTTAATCTCTTCGGTTGGCGAGTTAGTAGGACTAGTAAGTTTTCAGTGTATTTTTTTTAATTATACATATCAGTGAAAAAGTCACTTATTTCTTTGGAATTTCGAGATGTAATTCTGAACATGTTATAGCATAACATGTTTAGAAATTCTGAGCTACGTATATAACATACATGTAGTACAGATATTTGCCAAATGAGACTGAAGAAGTTGTCTGCATGGGTAGCTACTGAAGTTCTACTACTGCTTCTTATTTCGGCCGTCAAGCTTGTCAACTTGCTTTGTAAATGGTGTTTCGGTTGTAGGGTGCGCTTAGGCAGTGGACATAAAGAATAAGACGCATAACTACGTAGTTCTCTAGAATGGCAACGCATTAATACGACGGTACCCACTTACCATCAAGTGGAACGTCAGTTTTTTGCGGTTCCAATTAAATATTCTGTTACCTTGAAGGTACAAAATGGTGTGGTCCTGGCAACATAGCAGATGACTACGATGATCTCGGTACATCTGAAAGTACGGACGCCTGCTGCAGATCGCATGACCTATGTCCAGACCTCATCAAAGCCGGCGAAACTAGACATAATCTAACCAACACCGCTTTTTACACTAGGTAAGTAAAATTTCATAATAATACTAGCTGGGCCCGCGGTTTCACCCGTTTGAAATTTATAGCCTATATGTTATTCTGATGTATAGCTATATTGCTATAAAGTGTCATCAAAATTCGTTCAGTAGTTTTTGAGTGAAAGAGTAACAATCATCCATACTCACAAACTTTCTCGTTAATAATATTAATAAGATTAACTGCAGACAAATCACACAGCGCCATGTAGTCCCAACCTAAGCAATTTGTGTCATAGGTTCAAGATAACCTATCGAAATCATTAAATATTTTTTTAATATATATAAAACCTCCAAATGCAATTCATACTCAATACAAAAATTACATTGTGCGACGAATGCAACTCGCGAAAGACAGTGAGCTAAACTGAATAGCTGACCGTTTAGTCTAGTAGTTTAATAGAATGCTCTGGCTACAGCGCCTCAAGTTACATTGTGGCCTGTGGGGTTCTTAGTGTGTGAAAAAGTCGCAGATACCAGCCCCGCTTCTCTCTGTCGATAGAATATCTTGGTGAAGATTTGTTTTTAATGGTTTCTAATTAAATATTACTTAACTATCACTGAAATATAATTAATGTGGTTACTATTTACCACTTAGATATATAGAAACCATAGGAAACAGATAATAAAAATAGTTATACTTATGAATATTCGCATTTGCTTTGAACCCTAACCATCGGAAAGAAGATAGTGATAGTGCGTTAAAATGCTAGACTACGAATTGCTATATTTTTTTTAATTGTATAATAAAATCTCTTGTAATATACGGGTGCATTAAAAGAATAGGTACCACAATAAAACTTATCAAGGCCATCCTTAATTGATGTTAATAAGGTTCGTAATCGCATACCTCATCCGATGTTAATAAATCAGAATGAAAAAATGTATTAACTCAGACGACAATTTATAACCAACCGCAGTACAGTATTGTTACAGTTATTTATTCTAACCACAGCCACATATAACGATTAACGATGCAATTAATCCTTAAATGCATAAAAAAACATACAATGCACTCTTATATACGCCATTTGTGCCATGTCTTTTGTAAATAATGTTATTTAAATAAATATAATCAAAACAATTTACCGAGTTAGTCTTTATGTAAAGTCATCTACGTGAGCAACACTCGCACTTATTTTATCCGCCAAGCAACTTACTTTTGTAAGAAGAGTGTCAATCACCTTAGTTAGTCCTCCGAAATGGCAACGTTTATGGGAGGATTTCGCAACGATCACATTCATTAGTAAGTAGTATTTAGGCGAACGTTACTACTTACCACCATGAAGCTCACTCTCATAACTTACCGTTCCATCGAAGCAAAGTTTACAAAATAAGCAGGTTGGTAGCAGATACAGAGGTACCCCTGTATCACCACGCAGTCGATATTCCACAAAGTCCACCTCGGTACTAAGAACAACATAAGACATGTAATAAACTGTAAATTCTGGAGACCCGTAACACAGGTTCTTCGGATATTAGTGAAAGTTCTCCTCGAATTTATATTTACGATTACTTTTACGTGCCCAAATGGCTCTGTAACAATATCAATCTTGATAATGCTTTCTGGAGAAATTAAATAAATAATTATATTTGTTGACAGACTCAATTGCGATTGCGATGAGAATTTCCGGCAGTGTCTACATGAGGCAAATAGCACCACAGCGAACAGAATAGGCATTATCTATTTCAATGCAATAGGCACCAAATGCTACAGAGAAGACTATCCTATCACGTCCTGCAAGAAGAGAGGAGGGTGAGTTCATATGTATATATAAGTACCTATTCTAAATAAAAAAACCTACACGTAATGGAACTGTTATGATCTAATATATGTAATATACGTATGCCTGTTATAAGGCAATCGTACAAACTATTCATACCGGTATCATAAATTTGTGAGTGTGCCTATGTCTCTATTTAATCTGCTACCTTTATACAACAACTGAATTAAATTACTTATAATGATAGAATATCAAGTATCAGAAGAACGGACATAGACTTTTATTAAAAATGAGAATCTGGAAGCGAATGATGATTGGAGGGTAGTTTGTACAGGCGAAATACCTAGGCAAAAAAATAATAATACAAAAAACTTGACGTTCATAAGCGGCTGAAACGTTCTACTTGAGTAAATGATTTTGATTTAAATTTTTACCAAACTGAAATAATATTTGTTTATTATTAGAGTTTGGTATAAACGAAAACCATTCACAATCAAATATTTTTTAGTTTTCCAGTTTACCTGTTTTATAATATACCTACTTAATTTTCAGATGGCTCAATGGAAAATGTTTAGAATACGAGTATGACACCGACGGTGAAAAAGAATACCAATGGTTTGATGTTCCTAATTATTAAATTTTGATCTTTATTCGAGTATACGTTATTAGGCATTAAATTATATTTTAAGTGACTTCAAAAAGTGTCGTTCAATTTTCGATTGTATTTTTTCAGCTTAAAATCGGATGGAGATCCGATAACATATTTGTTCTGTTTTTGAAAGCACATACGTTTGTCCCATAGAAATTCATGTTTATGAGTTCCGTAGTTTGGTTTTTAAATGAAAATCACCAAAAGAAATGTGTCAATCAATTGTGTCTTTTTAGTTATTAGAAATAATAGTAGCTTCAATTAAGTGTTTAACATACAACTTCATCATCATCTGATGAACCATAATAGAACAATGTAACCATGTTTGTTAACTATAGAAGTCGGTTTTACTTTGTCATATCAAATTTATTATATTTGATCTTATGAAAGTCCATGCAAGTATTTTACCGAAGATTGTTGAATATCATCTGCGTCATCTATTTTAGCCACCAATCAGCACGCTTTATAAATTGCGTTCTTCGATGAAAGGCGAGATATGGCAGCAAAATTACAGGGCACGGAGACATGACATCTTAGTCCTCCAGAGAGGCAGCATATTAGGGATACCAGTTCCGTCACATATTGATGTGATGTCAGTGAATACATGAGTATTGAGTATTCGATAGTAGCCATATATCGGGTGGGTTCGTTTGCCATTTCAGTATAATAATAAAATATGGTTTCAGGTGTGGGATTTCTTATAAACTATGATTTGTATGTATTGTTGTGAGTAAAATTATTTATATTTGAATGAAGTTTTTAGTATATGACAGATTATTGTTGTAGTACTTATGTAGTTACAAGTTTTTTTCGGGTTTGTTTGATTCTTTATTGTAACTTGAAATGTAGTAATTAAGTATCCCACTACATTGTTTTGCGTGAATTGAGATGAAAAGTAAGTTAGTCCAGGTTTAGGATTAATTTTAAAATGATCTGATAAATGAATCATTATTTGTGAAACATTCAAACATCTTTACAGACATTCACATTTATGGTAGCAAGTAGTTAATAAAGGAAGTACGTGAAGTCTGATTATTTTACATTTATTTCTTCTTTATATCTTCTGTTATTGTTTTTCAATTTGGCATAAAGGCCTTAATACCTACCTTAATACAGTAGTTCTATGTATACTTAGTTTTTGTTATACCTTACTTATAAACTTTAGAAATTTTGTAAAGATACATTACTGTTACTTTTACCGACCTCGGTAGTCAAGCAGTTTAGCACACTGCCATATTTCCGATGGTCCTGAGTTCGTTTTCAGTATATTACACATATTTGTTTTCATGAGTGTTCCTATTTGTATTGTCTGGGTGGCATAGACACCACCCACAAAATACAAATATTATGAGAGTATTTAACAAGTCTATTTTCATCTAGCACCCTTAGTACAATTTCTGGTTAGTTTGATTATTGATATGTCAGTTGATTTGGATTATGAATAATAATCCAAATTATAATTTCTGGATTAGTTTCAGAGAATTGATATTTGTATACACTAGAATTCTTACAGTATTTATTACTATTATTGTGTTTGTGTTAAAGTGTAAAAATACATGAAATAAAGAAGCGGCATTTGTATTATTTATTTTCTTCATCAGCATATCTTTCCTTGGTACATTGTTAAAGATTTATCCATTATATTGTTTGCCATAATTCATTATAATTATAAGTAATATACAACTCTTTATATTAAATTATGCACACATAAATGCACGATTAATATACATATTTTATAGTATCTCGTATAAATAACCATACACGTTTAAGTTATACATGTCGTGATAAAAGATATGGATACAGATTCATAACAATGTATAAACAAGTGAACAACTTGAACGGTGTTAGAAATAACGCTAGAATATCCATTAGTTAATGATAGAAAAACTTCAAATACAGGTTATATAGGTAGATATGTAGCAGTGCTTAGCTAATAATATTTGACCCCAGCTCACGCATGATTATGTACAACCAATATTTTAAATATATATTTAGTAATACAATATAACGGGCTAAATAGTGGGGATATACATGTTATATACGATGGTTACAACTAGGAATCTCAAGCTAAATCTGGATTTTTATATATGTGAAAAGTTGAAATGCACGAGAACGAGAACCGTGAATAGATACGAAGCATATAGAGGACTTAATAGAGAATCCCTTGTACGAAGTGAGCAATCTCGAAATAGCCTACAACCCAAGCAACCTTACCCTCAATATATACAACAACAACTTTAGAACATTAATAGATAATTTAGATTCAACATCGCTCGGCTGGGCTAACCTTTTACAACTACGTCACGTTAAAAATCACATTCGTCAAAATTTTGAACATGACAGCGAGTTTAATTAGTTTCAATTAACTTTTTTAATTGCAGTACAAATAGTGTAACCTCTAAAACAAAAACTTTCAAGCAAGCAGTCTTGTCGGTTTCTTATCGAATAGAAAACTCTATTTTCATTATACCTTTCACGAACCCTATATAATAAAATAAGACAGTTCAATCCCATTATTAAAAGTATGAAGGAATAAATTTCCAGTAACAAAATTTGAAAATGAAAAATATCACTACCGTTTGGTTTAAAAGAGATAACAAACAAATAAGTGCATAGACAATCGAACTCCTATAAACAGAGCTATTAATATCTTTACATATTATCAATCATACCATTTTTTTTATTTAAATAGGTAATGCTTTAACTTGGGAGTTGCTGAATTGTTAAATATAAATCTACTAAGTGATAAATGACGCAGTAGTTTATTATAATATAATAAGAATGATAAAGATGGTATCACGTCTACTATCACAGAATATTATTATTTCGAGAATATTTAAGGGACCAGGCGTATAAATTCAATGCTCTTACATAAAACTCTTATAAGTTATCAATTGTCAGCTGTTGACTTCATTAATGGTTAATGTCAATTTTTATTAGGCACCTATCATTATTAATTACAACATTCAATACATAATTACATGCATTATGAAACTTGATAATATTATTATGGAGAATAATATGTATTTAAATATGTACCTTATTACAATGTATTTGTTAAACATTAAAACCAGTAGGGTTGCTAATTGTGGTTACCTAGATGATATTATAATTATTAAATAGATTTGAACACGATAGATTATTTTTGCAATGTACCAACAGACAATTATTGAGATAAATAGAAATTAATATTGGTCAGTAGGACGGTAACAATGGGACATAATGCCTGTTAGATCTCCTAACTGAAACGGTTGTTAAATAATATTTGTATTGATTCACAGAATTGTTTAGTCCCTATTTGAAATCAAATGTTATAAAATAATATTTATAGAAGAGTCTTTAAGAAGTAAGTCACAACTAGCGATCGTAAACTTAATTATAAGAAATCACAACAATACTATGCCGCACGAGGAGTGTTAAGTAATACTTGTAACTAGACAATAACGTTTATATATAATTTCATATCTATAGGTATAGTATATAAGAAATAATGCAGTTGCAATGCAATAATGTGTAAATAATTCACTCAAGATCTAACCTAACAGACGGGCAAAAGTCCGAGGAATAGAAAACATTTGATACACAACTAATTTCATATGTGTAATAACTCCAACTGTGGGTACTATCGAGACAGCACTAATACTTGAATATTCACTAGACTGTGCGTTTATTGAATTTTATATTATTTACAACATTTCCTATATAATAAGTACTCTCATACTTGTGAATCGACCAGCCTACAAGTAGAAAATCTCAAAAAACACCATGATGGGAACCCACGTCCAAAACTGACGGAGCTCCCGGAACAGTCGCAGTATTACTCCGAACCGGATACCCAAACAGAAACCGAGCCAGTTCGGAAAGTCGTTCACACTCGAAGAACTATCGGACGAGGGGCGACGGCGAGGGGGGCTCGAGGCCCGCTCCGCCAACATTATTTACCTCCGAGACCGAACTTCATGAAAATGAGTTCCTTGCCTTTGCTTAGAATATCACCACCAGGAGCGGTCATCTCGGAAAACTTTTGCATGAGGTTAGGCTGGGAGGTGGGGACAGGCTGCGCGGCGGGAAGGGGCTGGGCGGTGGGTGCAGGCACCACGGCGGGGCCGGCGCGGCGCGCGGGGGACACGCTGGAGATGGCGGTCGATACACCAGGGACCACGGCTGCGCCAGCGCCGCCCAGCGGCGTACCAGCCGTGCCGGTGCCAGGTGATTGCACCGTGGGTGTGCCCGCGTTACCAGCGCTCGTGCGCGCGATCGTGCTCGCTGGCTGTGCGATCACCGCGCCTCTCGGTCTCGCCTGCACACCCAACACAGTCCATTGTAACATGTCGATCAGTCGTGTTCTCCCGGTCTGATTGTATTGATCATGATTAATACAGAATTACGCAATAATTATTTAGAATGCATTTTATAAATGTCACATCTCTAACATTTATTGGAACATAAATAAAAATGTTCAGATTTACCATAAAACTATTCAAAAGGCTGTAACAGTGCTTCTTAGCGTAGATATAATTTAATATCGATACAGAACTGCTTAACTGAAATTGCTAAAATGCCATGTAATGATACTAAGTAGTAAATGCAGTTGGTATATACCATCCATAAATACATATAACCTTTAAGAAGTTGTGAATAACGACAAAGTATTTAACTTAGGGTTTTCAAATAACTAATAATACATTTTGCTATTATATCACTTTTCTTGTAAATTGTTGTATCTTAAATGAATTAACTTAGGGTTAGGGACTATCTAACTAATCAATCTAGTGCCTAATTGTTTCACTAAATTTAAATATTTTAGAACTTCTAAAATAAGACATATGAAATGTAAACTCTTTTACAGGACTAGTAGAAAGAGCATTACAGATTTAGTACAGTAGTAAGTTTAAAATAAGTCTATTTCGTAAGCTGAAAGTAGATCAGTACTGAGTTATGAACAATAAGATATTTGTGTCATTTATATCTGTATCATATTGTACTTATATTAATAACGATTTACATAAGGTATCAGGTTGTATGTACTTATATGCAAGCATTAATGATCTACTTAGCATTGTATGCAAATACGAATTTAAAATGGCACTGATCCTAGTTTTTTCTATTTCATTTTGTATTTACTAAATATAAAATATTACATTTCTTTATGAAAAATAATAGTAATATAATACTTACTTATAATTATTAATCTATTAAAAGTTATAACGTCAAGATGATAAAGTTTATAAAACAAATGCATTAAGCTATTTAAAAAGAAAACATGCCGCAATATACATACGTAGTTAATATAGAAAAAATGTGCGATTAAAAAAAACATGCGTCGCCATACATTGAAGCAGGTGAAAGAGATGTTAATACTGTTACAGATGATTGTTATGTATAAACTCGTCGAACTATCTTATTCAAGGTGTTTCACTGAAGGGCCACTTGAGACAATGTGTAGTATGGATTCCATTATAGGTACATACATTATTAGGTATTAAAAGACCTGTACATGTCCCGTACATTGATCATGCTGAAATAAACTACAACAAGAAGCATTCAAAAAGTCATACTAATAGATTACACAACGTATCATTGGAATGATTCATTCAAGTATATAATTTAATTTCTTTTAATTCAATATCATGAATTTCAGTCTGGTAATCTCTTAGTAATGACCACATTCACAGATCTCGGAAATATTGTATTTACATTATGGTGAATGGGTTATGGTATTCTGATGTGAGTGAAGTATACGCCAGTGTTTGTTCTGTTCTAGTCTCTGTATGATCTGGTCCGGTAAATGGTATGATATCTAATAATGTGTACGAGGAGAACAATGATCACAATGATCTTCCGTAACAATCGAACGGACCAACTGAGCGCGCGGGGCCGTCCTTTATAATAACAGATGCCCCTAACTGTACACTGAGCGTAGTAATGAAACGCAAGGTAAATATAGATAAATAAATGAAGAAAAGGAAACAGTGAAAACAATAAAATCTAGAGATATGAAGTGACAGTTTAACAAAAAAACGTCTAGTATCGTTGCATAGTATATTTGAAATAGTATTGTTGTGGGTCGATTATAAACGGTATTTTACCTGAGAATTCGCCTGTTCTGGATTACTGGCGCATGTGTTGTGGTCTAACTGAGAAGGGGGAAGAGGGCAGGCATCTAGCAAACAGACAATACACACAACATATATAGTGACCACAGACAACCACTTGAATCTTGGATCACACCTCACGCGCATCGTGCGCTCTGTGTATGGCTATGTTGCGTGTATTTATACAGATAGGCCTACCCACTGATGGTGGAAACAGGTGAAACTATGCCGTGGTAGGGGAGCACGTGAACCAAATAAAAACAGGATAGATAGGAGGACAGATAAAAAAAAAGTAGCACTTAAAATTATCGTTTAGGTGGAGGTCCTGAAAGATGCTTCTCAGATGTCATTGTTATAGTGTTAATCCAAACGATTGCAGTTGTTATTATTAAGTATATCTAAAATATATTCTTCTGAAGCCGTTACGATGTTTGTGACTGTGTAATCCAAGATAGTGTTATTAGCAAAGTGTACACCAAGAGTCTTTGTGCTCCGTAGATTGCAACCGGACTCGCATTTATTAAAATTAGTGTTAAAAACAATTTGATTTAGTTTTGAAAGCTCCAATAATGGAAATGGATTAGCACTTTATAGTAGTACTTATTTAAATATAGATCTTTTATTAATTTTAGTATTTGCTATGAAGAAATCACAATACGGATATATTATTTTGCTACTATATTGTCATAATGAAATATCATTATAGATATTTTGAAGTTTCACTTTTTTGAGTTGAAGTACTAGATGTTTACAATAGGCAGTGACTATAAATATATAAAACATCTTATAAGGAAGCCAATGCAAGTTACTTGTAACCCTAATGCATTTTATATTTTATCCAAATATAATATGTCGTGCCGAACTCTAATCGAAGAGTACAAGCGAACGCATTGACATACAAAATTTTAATGCAATGCAATAAAAGTAGCAAATTGAATATGGATAATAAACATAAGAAACTCGCCAAGCGAGTCCCGTCGCAATCTCAAAACCGTGTACAGGAAAGATGATAGAGGGTACCAGAGCGAAATAGCTAGCGTCTCTCAGTAGTCACATAGCAAGTCCAAGGTGCAAACATGAAACACTCAAAGCTCTCGGTGATCGGGACTCAACGTCACCGAACTTACCTAAACGGCCCGGGCCGACTGTTCCGGTAGCTTCAAACAATAAGAAAATACTCGTATTAACACGAAGAGACACGAGAAACACTAAATACTATTGTTATGAAATCACTAATTTGGGTGTTCCGAAATTTATTTACTACCTGTATAAAGCGGATATTTATTCACTAGATTTAACATTTCAAAATATAGGATAAATAAAAACGGTATAGCAATGCGGAAGTAATTTGGTCATTAAATAAATTTTACTTGATTAGTGACATTTCCACAATTTCCTATTATATATTTTTCTCACTGTTTACATTTGCGCTACCAGAACAGACAACCCGGTCATTTTACAATCATTTCATTATTTCTTATTTTTATTTTAATAGTTCTAACAGGGAAAGTAACTATGACAGCGAATATGGAAGCCGATCGCGGCTCTACGAGAGCAGGTGGACGCACCTGCCTTCCGGTGGTGGTTGCGGGGCGCGGGCGCAACGTTGTCACGCGGCGGCGGCGGGGGGCCCCGCGCGCCGGGCCCCGGCGCCGCGCCCGCGCTACCGCCACGCCCGCGCCCCGTGCCAGCCAGTGGCCCTCCCGCACCCCTAGGACCCGCAACGCCGCCCATGCCGCCCATGCCGCCCACGCCGCCCGCAACGCCTGCATTTAGCATCGCTCACGTTCTAAAAGTCCGTTTCTCAAAATTTCCTTTTACTAATATATCTGCTTCCTATAATGTCAGTAATTCTAAATAGTCTACAAATATTCCTAGTCATCGTAATTCCCATTCAATATAGTAGATCCTTATAGAGTTTATTTTTGAGGAATATTAAAAGTTTAGTACTATGTCTACTCATTTTACCTTTTATTTATCGATATTTAGAAGAATATGTAAACTGTAAACAGGACCTAGTGTCTACTAACACTAATTTTAAGAACATATTATGTTTATGATTTTATTTACTTGAGTTAGAGATACTCAAATTATCTTTGATAAGCGCTGATAAGATTCTTGCGAAATATTTTCATCGAAGATTTTATATACTTAATTTTTATTTTACTTAAAAGCTATCCTCCAGGCCCAAGATAAAAAACAAAGGGGTAAACAGCAAAGACAGAGATTAACATCACAAGTTATGGGTAAAAACAGTAAAATTTATAGTCTGATCATGCAAGATGGGGTTCAACGTGTTTATAATGGAAGGAATATTTACGGTACATCTGCATTAGTTACATTAAACCATTAAAAGTTTCGCGTTTGAAGTGTACATTTCTTTAGCCTTTCTAGCTCCCTCTTTCTTTAGTAATTGGCAATGTTGAATGTAGAAGTGGGATTCGAACCCACACAATCACTTCAAAAGACAATATTTACGCATTGTTTGTTATTTTTATAAATAAATATATCCATCTTGTAATAATTAAAATTTGTCATGAAATCCTTGCAAAATGTTACCGTTATGACATTATCTAAATTATAGACACTAATGCAATTATTGGAGGGATGTATTGTTTTTTTAAATTATTTGTATTCTGATAATGCAGCTTACTATAGATTACATTGTCTATGCTATAGGCGAGTCTTTTAAAATCGATTAAGTAATTTTTAAATATTACTATTACAAACAATAAATCAAATATTTAAGATATACGTTTTTATTACTGTATTTCTGAAAACTGACAACAAACCTTGGCTGGTCTGTCCCGCGGGTGCATACTGATCATTTGCTTCAGTAAGGAAGTTGCTCGGCACCAGGCCCCTGACGCCGTCGATTTCCGCCATGTAAAACCCATCATCATCCATATCCCCGTATACGTGGATAATCTGGCCGGTCTGGAAACTCAGCTCGGCCTGAAATTGTTGTCTCTGCTTACAGTGGACTCATTGTGTTACGGAAACATCGCTTCTAAGTTTCAATAGCCGCCCATTAAACCGGCAGGTATGTTATTATTCTACAGACAGTCCTAAAATCTAATACAAGACTCATTAAAATTATAGTTTTAATGATTGAAACAAAATTAATTATGTAGAGAAAAGGTGGTTGCAAAACTGCTTTTAAGATAGTACTTGAATGTAAATGTTGTGTAAATGTAACTTTAACGTAAAAAACACAATTTATCATTTAACTATCGTGGAATCGTAATGTGTAAATTGACATATTTTTACTTATATATACTCACATCAGCATCAACGTTGGGACTTAGCTCCTGAGGATCATAGTCGTATAGGGCGACCATTCTCCGAACAGGCTGGGTAGCGTAGGCATCAGTCCAACGGTCTCGGGGCTTAGCCGCTGCAGCTTGACCAGTAGCTTCTTGCTCAGAAACCTCCATCACCATGTTGTGGGGCACATACCCTCGGCGTCCGCGACATTCGCCCCAGTAGAATCCATCAGCATCCTTGTCGCCCCAAACCTAAAACGTAAAAAAAAGGATGTTGTTATAAATTGATATAATAGTAGTTACTTACAACACAAACGACTAGAAAATGTACGGTCGTTGGTGTAATTGTAAAGTGTTTTTTCTTCAGAATAACGAAAAACTATTTACCTAGGTACTGTAACTATAGAATAAGCCGAAATTTAGATTCAATGTATTGCTATCGTTCTTGGGTGAGGGAGAGGCAATTTCTCTGAATAATTAAATAATAAAATTATACCCAATTAGTGGAGAAGTCAATACAATTACTATTAGGGACAAGGAGTATTTAATTTATGGATGCAGCTATACATTTTATGACATAATTATCATTCCTAGATTACGAAACTAATTACAAACCTTAATCGTATCGCCTTCACTAAATGGCAACTCCTCATCACAACTTTCGGGGTTGGGGCTCATGGTGGCTGGGTCATAGTCAAAAAGCGCTATAAAGTAACGACTTCTTTTTGACTGAGGATGTCCCTGTTGTGGATGACGCGGACCAGGCTGAGGGCCACGAGGACCAGATGATGGCGCCCCACGTGGCCCATACTGCATGGCGCTCTGCTGGACCTGTTGCTGTTATTTGATTGATTTTTTGAATTAATAATATTGTTATTTGAATACTAACTTTAAGATATAAAATAGATAAAAAAGGCACCTGATGTGGGTTAGGAGGGCGACCCCTCTCATGATGGTTCCTCGGTGGTGGATTTTGATATTGCTGCGACTGGCTGGTGTACTGAGCCGGCTGGTTACTTTGAAACTGGCCGGCTTGTTGATATGGGGGTTGCTGCGTGCCATGGTAAGCTTGTGTATTCGGGTACGGCTGACCCGATGGCTGCTGCGACGCTTGCGCTGGTTGGGACGGTTGCTGCTGACGTCCGTACGAACCAACACATTAATAAGGTTAGATTTTCCGTAAAAAAGCCAACAGCAATATTTAAAGCTCGAAGCCATATTTTCCTTATTGGCGTTGCATTGTAAGCGATAAAAATGTTACCTTCTTCTTGAGTGTGAAATAAATAAGACATTCCGTTGTAGCTCTATTCAACCCCCATGCACAACGAAAGCTAGCGTGCAGCGCTTACACTTGAAACCACATCATTCATAGCAGATAATTAGGTAATTATAACATTTGGTTTCTTGTCAGCAGTATACGTAGATGAAAACTAACCATCATAATAAATAGTTTTCGACAACCTCTTCAAATATTCTAAATTTATCCAAAAGTCTTCCGGGCGTACCCTTAGTGTTAAACACTGAGATATTAGGTTTGATAGGTGTGTGAAAGGAGTACTGAGTGTACGCGTCGAAGCCAAGACAACATGCAGGAACAATCATACAAACACGCGCTGTACATGCTCGAGTGATTATGATTCTGTAGTATCGAGTGCTCTGTGGGGCCTGTTATTTTGGATGACCTACCACTTGGAACGGGAAACTTTACGTGAATATAATGTGCTTTGCATGTCATCAAATCCTGGGTGTGTTCAAGACGCGTGATCCTGTGTCGAGTGTGTAGCATCGTACATCAAGGACGGACAGTAAGTGAAGATTACAACATAGAACACCGAGAAATGAAAACTCGTGATTGGGACAGAGTCTGCACAAAGTTGAGAGAGAGAGAGAGAGCATAGTGAGTAGTGCTAGCACATGGAGAGCACATCGATGACAACTAGGAGAGATCGCAGACCTGCGGGCGGCGACGCGACGTATCCTCATCCTCGCTACCCAGCTCCGCCGCGCCCTCTTTTGTGATTTCGATGGCTGGTATTCCCGATTGCTACCACACGGTCAATATTTTAGCATAGAACAAATTTGTTTCTTTAAACAAGACAAAACAAAGTGAAATTATGGATGTGCTGACATTAATGGACGATGCACATGGCGTAAATGGGTACACAGTCGCTGTCTGGTGAAGTGATTTATCTTTGCTCTTCATTTTCATGATCGTACCTGTTTTATGTAACAATATTGAGAAGCAGTTAAGGATGCCGTCGTAGAATACGCAGGAAGCGGACGAATATAAGCTATATCAGAAGTGTAAAGTCAGTTTATTGAAATAATTGAACATATATACATAGTTACAGGAGCTTAGAACAAGTGAAGCTGTGAAAGCTGAAGTGGAAACATGGAAATTTTCTGCCGTGGAAGCACCTGAATGTTTTCAATGCTCTTAATTACTTTCTCAAAGATTTACATAGCGACTTGTTTTCCATGTGTTTGACAGTCAGTTTATGATGAACACGTGTATGTTTAATGAATGTAAATGAAATAACGATGTATGAAATTTCAATAGCACCTATTTATTGGTCAATTACCATTTCTATACGACTGCTAATATTAATATATAAACTCTATCAAATGTTCAATCTTCACCACATTTTAAATATTCCATTACTCAATATTCTTTTCCTTAATAAATATCTCTATATCTCTATTGTATATTTCTAATATTATATATTCTAATTTGTCTATCTAAACCTACATATAAAGTTGAAGTATCGAGTATTAAGTTCATGAGAAAGAATAATAATTATACATAAATTTGCTAGAATGTACTTGTTTTCTACTATTAATTTTTCGTCTACTTTCATATAATATTATGTAAGCATAATCAAAGTAAATATTGTTTTCATATGCTGATTATATGACTAAATACGTATATATAATCATTATAGTATACTATTACATACTGGCACACTGTGTAAAATATTAATCGTGAAATAATATGAAAGAACTCATTGCATAACTAATAACTTAAATAAGTAACACTTCAAAACTGAACATAATTCATAAAACGCAAAATAAAATGGTGTGTTAATAATATCAGAAATAAAACAAAATATATTTTAAAAGACGTGTTAAAATTCCTTACCGAAGGGGTTATTTTGTCGAATATACTCTTTAGAAGGCCTGTGCCGAATCCACTCGTAGGCTATGGAAAGGTGTATAACAGTTATGTGAGAGCGAGGTAAGGTAAGACTAAGTGGAATGATACAACTCATGAGCTCTATGGACGGTATATTCTGTGTCACAAAGTACAAGCTCTTTATTTGTTTAAGGTAGTATAATTGTAACGTGTTGTGCGTTGTTTGGGTATCGGCCAATAGCACTAGAGACTACTGATCTAGTCGCAAGCAGTATGCATTTAATTTTGAACGATCGAGCCGAGTGCATAGCTAGAGTTCATGGCGCGGGTGGTCGTGTCGTGTTACTGTTCGGCAGAAACTACTAGACATTTAGAAGATGCCGCGACAGAACCACAGGAGATAGTATAAAGAGTGCAGTTTGCAACACCGATATGTCGCGACAAACCATCTGTAGCCCAAATACATTCATTACATTTAAAATAATTTTAAATCATCATTGTCAATCAAGCATTATAAAATACAGAATATAGACAGATGGCTTCTCACGTAAGAAGAGAGCATATGACACTGATCATTATAATGATAGCTAAGAAGACACATACGAAGAATCATCAGATATAAAAAATAAAATATGAAGCTCATAAATACTTAATCAACATCATAAAGAAATGTACTGGCGAAATGAAATTTGAAGTTACACACGAATTATACAACACTGATTTGCAAACAAAATGTATACAAAGTGCTGTGCCGACCAACATTTAGGTATTTAAGATATATTTATAAATTAGTTTACTTTTATCTAAAATATTTTAGAACATTCAATCCAATTAGCAAAGTAATATAAATCTATTTTTTTTTGTAAATATCATATTTTTAATTATGTTATTGTTGAATATTTTATTATTATCAAGCTAATTAATATATCAGAGTAATTATAATAATGACATTGATTCTTAAATGTTTTACAACATGAAAGAATCACAGCACAAAAAATACATAAGAAAAAATGAAGGTTGTCACCTGAGCAGCGTGTTGTTCGTGACGATTAGTGGTTGGAAATATTTCTTTATCAGATAAATTCTCATCATGTTCAATCACTTGTTGCTGATGTTGATAAGGCTGTGGACGTTGCGGACCTCTGTATGGTACACCCGTTTGGTTAGGCAGAGCATGAGGACCTCTGGGTAGCCTTGATGCTACACCACGCAACACTGCGGGTGGAATAGGTGTAGGTGCGCTATCACTAGATTGACTATCTCGAGATTTTGTACGAACCTGGAAGTAAATTAATATTTGTGTGAAAAAATTTTGATTGAATGGAGCTTGAATAAAAAGTTTTTATTGTTTAGAGCAGTGATAATATCATATATAACCTTGATAATATCAATACAGTTCGAAAGCTAAGTACATTATTAATTATGAATGTACAGAAAAAGTTTCTTAATTATCGTTGACTTGAACGATTCTGTGAAAATATTGCCAAAACGTAGCATACACATAGCCAAGTAAGCTCCATATAGCTATACTTACGGTGACACATTTAGGATTGAGGCCAATTAATTTGCCAATATCGATGAGGGCGTGGTCACCAGTAGGTGAGTCAACATCCGTCACCTTCTTCCCATCAGCATATACCGCATATCCAGTAACAGGGCCAGAAGCTGGAGGGCGTAGAACCGGCTGCCAAGTGACTAGCAGCGTGCCGTCTTGGGGTCCCGCTTCCACCTGCGACACCGCACCAATCACCACCAACAATCCAGCTAAACATCATGAGGCTAGCCAATTGGGTTTTGACAATATTTTATATTTCACCAATGTGGAAACCACTAATAAGCCACATGGAGGGATAAACTGACATCACAAAAACAGGGTTGCTAAGCTAACGATAAGGTGAGCACTGGGATCAGTCAATATAATTTTTCCTGGAGCTGGATTTATGGTTGCGATTGACGCGACTTCCTCAAATTTCGGAGGTGCTGTGTGCTTCGAGATCGTGATCTTATTTGGTAGGAATAGGAGTGTATCAGTATTGGTGATAATAACATAATATCGTCCATCACACACTTTGCGGAGCGTTAAAAAGCTGACTTCAAGTGTGCGTGTGCTTAAATGCTTTCACGGATTTTCACTGTATTCGGATATTTTATATTGTTAGTGATATTTCTTATTACGCTTAATAACTGCCTGATAATACTATATTATGTATATCGTATATTCATAGAATTTGAGCGAGCAAGGAAAGTGAGTGTAAAATGTATAAGTTGGATCATAAAGCATGCTTGGTTCATTTCATGCTAATTTTAATGACGTGTAGTTACATACCATAATTTCATTTGGTGGATCTGGTAATCCTTTTGGTAAAGTTCTGAAGTCAGTATACGCTCCTGGAGCTTCTTCTATGGGTATACCTGACGGAGGTCCGGCTCTCAAGTGTTTAGCTCTTACCGTCACTCTGTACTGAGTACTTGGTGACAAACCAGTTATAGTATGGCGGTATACTCCTGGTTTTACAGTTCGTACCTATAATAAGAAACAATAGATAATATGCGCGTATATAAAGAGTAGTTTACGTGTTTGTATTCAATGGTAACAGTTATCACAGCTTACTTCGACATTGTTAACACAGACGACATGCTGGTGATTAGAGTTGGCAGGCAACCAAGATATTACAGCCTGCGAACAAGTGACTCCCGTGGCTCTCACGCATGTCGGGCCCATATTTGCAGTGTCACGACCAATTACCATTGTACAGGCTGCGTCGCGTGACGTGCGGCGAGTAGCAGTGACTGAACGGACGCTGATGCGATGTGGCTTTGAAGAAATATAATGTCCATTAGCCAACTCTGTTACTATAATTTACATATTTTTTTCAACATGTGTCAAATTAGGGAATCAGAAAACCTTTATCTAAAAGCAAACAGTGATAATGAGCTATAATGCTTAATTGGTGCTCTTTGAATGTTGATGAAATCTAAGTAACATTGATAAAATGAAAACTATTGAACACCAAATAATATTGACTATGGAACTCACCCGATTAGAGTCGACTCCTTCGACTAAAGCACGAGTGCGCTCAGTAGCTTTAACGGTAGTCTTGAGAACTCCGTCGACGTAGACATGGTAGCTCTCGATATTGGCCTGCTGAACTCCCTCCGGCGCCGTCCAGCCGATGAGCACAGACTTGTTCAACTGCCTCTCCAGCGTGAGCTGCCGTGGCGCGGGCACTAGCGACGAGAAAAACAGCTCGGCTGTTCAGGTCCGAGGGTAGATCGCGTAGGAGTGTAGCCAGGCAGGCGAAGTGCGAGTGATATGCGAAGAAGCGTGCAGCGAAGTCCGATGGGAACGGGATGGGCACAAAAGGAAGGACAAAGGTTTCAACTATAGATCTATTGTTTCTACAGAAAACATGGCCAATGCATTTATTCTATATATACTAAATTAATTGAGCCGTCATCGGCTGACGCAATGCCGTGACAACCATTAATTAATGTGATCATTATAATAAGCATCTTCAATGGGCGCATATAGTATACTTGAATTAACATGCGAAAGAAGGATGAGAAATAAAAGAAAAATCCTTGAGACTGATAAGTATTACCCATGCGTCGCTGGACAAAATAAATTATGATTTCCATTTTTAATCAATATTAAATAATATATTTGTACGTACATATATGTATAAGGTCATAAAAAAAATATACTTTATCTTACAAACCTGGTGCTGTGACTATCATCAGATATAATTACTAAAATCAAATAGATAATTGTATGGTAACTTCGAGGAATCTTATAAGGAAAGATCCGTGCCTAGCAATGGGATGGGCGGTAATAGATCTTCATAATGTTGGTGATGAATTAGTCCGTGCAAAGTGATATAGTTAAAAACGTTAAATATAGTGGTATACATCCAATGACGTTTGATGATCATTATAAGTCTTGGACTAGATCTCATATTTGTTGTCCCATCCTTCTTATAATTTTTAAAGAATATAATGTAAAATTAGGAATAAACGTTTTGAAATCTATTCTCATTTAATTAATCTAGTCTCAAAATTGTAACAAAGATTCTAGTTTTCATATTATAATACTATACAATACCTACAAATTATTTCTAAGAGATAAATATTTGTGAGATTGAATGTCATTTTACGGAAGTAATGTCGTATAATATAAATGAAATTGTTTCTATGAGATGTGAACTACTATAAGATGATTTACCATTGTCGTCATCTTCTGGTCCCTCGCTTATATCGGCCACTTCACTGAGGCGCGCAACATCGCGACTCAGAGATAAGTCACTGACCGCTGTAGTTGCAGACTCATCCACGTCGCGGAGGGTAGATACAACTGCCTATAAAGAAAATATTTACAGTGTGAATATTACTATATGTATAACAATTACATATGTAGCTAATTTTGGTTATACTAGTAAAGCGCATGTTCAATATATAAAAATCTGTAAAACGTCTTTAAGAAAGAGTACCTACCAGCCTAGTTTATCGTCAACTACTGTTATTGCTTTATTTCCCATTAGTCATAGATTTAGTCATTTTTACAAATATTAATTTCAAGATTTGACTTTACTTTTAAACTTTTGTACTTCTATTATCATTATATTAATACGTGAAGCAAAAACTTTGTACTTGCCTTTTTACGAAAATGGAGGAGTATGAAATTTCACACACTTAAAGAGGTTCATATATGAATCAATAAAAATATATTACACATACCATGTATTTCATTTACACACGAACAGTCTTTGACAATAGAACCTTGATTGTTCATATTTATAATTTAAATTAATTATGGTTTAATTTCGGACATTGGGTGACCACTAGTCTTCTTAATTACCTGATGAAACTCTAATAGATCATCTCCAACCAGTCTTTGAACAAAATTAGCCGGAACCAATCCACGACGACCATCTAATAATTCTGCGTCGAGCATAGATACATTGGAATCTGGAGGACCCCAAACCAATAAATAATCACCAGCACATATAGACAACTCTCCTTCAGCACTTTCAATCCTAAAAACATGAGGAATTCTTAATACAGCTTTAACTTCAGTAAAGTAGGCAAAGAGAACTGAATTTCAACAATCTTTTATTTTCCTTTAATACAGCGAATTCGTCCCCATAACCTATCATTTAAATAGCAAAAATAAAACATAGCCATCATCGCAAATAAATAGATGCCTGGGTGGTATAACGGTTTAGCACACCGCCTAACTTCCGACGGTCGCAGGTTCGATTCCTGGCATGGTAGAAACATTGGTATTTGAAGAAAATTGTAAGCTATTTCATAACACGAGCCCTCAGATAATTAATCTCAGACATGGATGACAATTGATGCAACTCATCTCTCATATAGTACGAGTGTATACTCGTATATATAACCAAATTAACAATGTTATTTAAGAGGTTTATCACGTCTCACCCTCTCTCTGTATGTGCATAATATTAATCAATTAAGTCTTTACAAAATGGACAACTTACTCAGGCGGATCATATGAGAATCGTGCGATATAAACACAACAGCGCCCTTTTCCTGGAATATCCAGCATGTCAACTTGAGCTTCACCAGACGCACCTCCATTCATATAATGTGAATTTCGAACTGAAAATGTAAAATCATCGAGCTATTGATTAGAAGAATTTCTTTAAAAGATTCACATTACAATATAAAATATAATTAAAAGTTCCTTGGATAATATATATGTTATAATATTTAATATAATGATTTATTAATAAGTACTAATATGAAGTAAAATGCTGTACGTGTATATTTCATGAAAATTATGAACACTCATAATCATTATTCATAATTTCCAAGAAACTAAATATTGGTAACTGTACATCACATTTCCTTATGAACATAAACTTTATTAGTTTAACAATACTACTTACCATCCATTTCTAATCCAGAATTCGGTAAGATCCTTGACAAAGCTCTTTGATTTCGATCATGGCTGAATCCTGTATCTATGCCTCCTAGTCTATCAGCTCCAAATTGACTATCTAATCCTAAGCTCCATGAAGGTTGATGCGGTGTTACAGGAGTTGCCACTCTACCCACGCCTGTAGTTGTAGTCCCAAATCTACTTATTCCGAGATCGATCTCATCTAGAGGTTTTAGTTTAATGTTCATAGTATTCGTTCCTAAGCCACTAGACAATAGTGGATTTGTGTAAGTGCCAGTCGTTCCATATGCATTCGTGCCAGTCAAGCTCGTATTCAATGCACTAAGTTGAGTCGCACCCGTGAGATTTCCCAAAGGATTAGATAAAGCTCCTGTTAAAGTTGATTGCATGCCGCCGAGTGTATTAGTCAGACCTCCAGATAAACTTGTTTGCACGTTATTCAAGCAACTACTAAGTCCGCTTCCGGCCATAGTTCCTGTCAGAGTTGGACCAGTTAAAGCGCCACCAAGACTCATGGCTGACATATTACCAGTAATATTTTGAAGGTTACTATGCAATCCTGCCAAGGTGTTAGAAATTTGACCGATATTGTTTACCAGTGGCGCTGTTACGGGATTAGTAAAAGTAACTTGATGAGTGTTTGTTAAATAGGCATTGGTGGAGTAAGCAGAAACCGGATTAGAGTAAGAGGTAGGATTATGCGCACTTATAGAATAGGCTACGGAGTTCGAGCTAGGGACAGCAAACTGCCCGGTAGCATGAAGCGAAGATAGTGTGGGCATTGTGTTGCTCTGACAAATGGCCACGTGGCCAGCTGTACTCGTGTATGAGTGCGGTAGTGGCGAAGGAGTCGGCGAATGGAACTCTCCCAAAGCTTGGTTAGATCCACTGGATTGCATACCTGCAACAAAAAAACAACATATCTCAACAGTTTATAAATTAAACAAATTTTAAAAGTCGAAGATTTGTAGAAACTGGGTATAAATAATTTGTTTACCATGCGTAGTTGATCTAGTATGTTCCAGTTCGGCAAGGATACGATTATCCTGCTCTATTTTTGCCATTATGCGTTCGATTTCAGAAGCCGGCTGCGCAGGTGGTGCTGACCAATTTCCACCAGAGGACGCACCGCGAGCACGCAGGGCAGACGATAGCTCAAGTTGCAATTCTTCGCAACGAACGGTTTCCAGTGCCGCCTGTAAAAGAAAAGGTGCTTATAAGTTTCGTTTCCTGATTTAAATTTAAACAATAATATATGTTACTAAAATACGAACCTTCTTTTCTAACTCTCTAGCTCTAGATTGGAGTTGTTCAACATTTAGGGAGTCGAGGGGTGAGCGCTGAGCACCGCGTAGCTGTGCGAGAGCATCGGCATGGGCACGCTCAGCGTCTGCCCGCGCTCGCTCCGCCTCACGTAGACGCCGCGACAACGAGTCGGTGTCTCCCCCGCCAGCTGACATCCCTCCACCCGGACCAACGCCGTAACCGCTCATATTCTGGTTACAAATTTTTAATACGTTAATGCTAGCTTATAATAATAATAAAATATTTTAAACAAGTAATTGAATAATAGGCAGTTATAAGAAGCTTAGAATCTACTTTCTATGTTATTTTTGTAAATCTAAAAATCTATTCTATGTCTTGAGAGGTTACACTATAGTACGTGGTAGGAACAGTCATGTAGATGACTTTTGACTTTTACTCCGTTTTCCTTAATATTGATTTCCGTTTCAAATAAATAATATATTTTCCCATTTCTCACTTGTAACTCAAACTGCCATGTCGACTTATCAACAAATGTCACATTCACTATTACAATCTACCTACATTACTGCAATCGTTAGACATTTGACCGATAATCCGTTATTAGGCTTGACTATATGAAATTCAACGTACAATAGAAAACTTTCACCCATAAAACCAGTGTATGAATAATTTATCGATTTTATGTTAAATTCTAGTCGATAGCTGTTCGCCCTTCGTGGCATCGATTGACGTCATAGGCGATAAGGACTGATATAATATGCCCTAACCAGGCCCTTGTCAACGTCCATTACCTATAGAAGCTATAGGTTAACCTACCGACCCTATCTACACTCTAATCATGAGGAAAATACACTCGTGATAAATAAAAAATATCGATGTAATATACGTAAGTACGCATCATAATGTCAAAGTTTTGTACTATACTACTTATATTATGCTAGTTACCCGTCCTGGCTTTACATGGGTAGGTATACATGTAAAATCTTCCTCTTAAATAACTAACAGACGGCAACGACAAAGATTATATTACGTTAAGATCCGTAGGCAATCAGGAATTAAATATACACAATCACTACATACAGTAACATGTATATTTTATTAATATACCTATTTTTATCATTATAATCTGATGTTACCACTTCACTCAGTCAGATTACACCAGTTAATACTACCACCACCAATAATATTGAATGCATTATCAGTAACATAAATTTCTAGTTTATTGCGAACCTAATCTACGAAAATATTTGTTTATTAACTCTCGCGCTTGGTGCTGTACGAACCTTTACAACTTTGTGGTTCATTCCTTTACAAAAGGGAAATTTTGAACACTCATTTACGTAGTAACCTCTGTTTCAACCATATACCTTTTAATAGCTCTTAATAAATGATGTTCTGATGTGAAGGACCTGATACCTAAGTTTTCTTATGCAATTGAAATGGCAAATAATCAAAGTTATTAATCTGTTTGCTAAATAAGTGGTAACTGTTGCCTACTATAAATAAGATTGTTATTCCTCAGTACAAAGGTAGCATGCCTCCGAACCATTTCATTTACCTACATTGGGATTATCTCCAAGTAAAAAAAAGGTGAGTCCGATATACCAACGTATACGATATTTAACTAAATCTGACTAAACGTTATTTGAAATCATTGAAATGGTCATCATCATCTGCTTCTTATCTCATTTATTTGGGGTTGGCGTAATGGTTTTCTCTTCCATTCACGTCAGTTTACTGTCATCTCGTTATTCAGTCCCGTTCTTACCATATCATCTTTGACACAGCATATACATTTCTTTTTCGGCCTTCCTCCGCCCTTTAACCGTCCACATTCAAATGTAATAAATTAAAAAAAAATCAATAAACATTGAACACCCCAGTGAAAGATTGCATGTACATTGTGTTTACTGAAACATAAATAACTAGTTGCCAACTACAAAGCTATCAGACTCCAGTGGTGTATTCATTGGTTTAGTCCGTATCAGTTCTATATAAACTTAGCCAGTATTGTTAGGCGGTGTTATTTTTGTAGAATACAATCTATCAAAGTACTTATTCTTCTAGACCTTGATGGTGTAACGATTTAACATTATCACCATGCTTTGGTCACAAGTTAATTCCCTATACAATAAAAACATTCGTATTTATTAATATACCTGGAGTGGATATTTTTTTATTTAATATCATTATAAGTCGCTGTCGCTGTCTGCCCGTCCCTATGTATACTTAAATCTATAAAACTACGAAACGGATTTTGAAGCGGTTTTTTTTAATAGATAGAATGATTCAAGAGGAAGGTTTCTATATATAATACATGTATACCCGTGCGAAGCCGGGGCGAGTAGCTAGTATTATATAATTATATATATACCTTGATATTCCTTAAGTTATCTACTAAAGTACAATGTCTACTAAAATTAGAGATGGGATCTATGAATCTTTCTCTTTCTATACAAAACTAGTTACACTCGGCAACAAGGCCAAGGAGAAAATTAATGATAGACATGTAAAGCTACAAACGTCTGCGAGCGCCGCCGTTATGTCTCGAACCTTCCATAAGTCAAAAAGTACACTGACCTGATTTCTAGAACGTCTCTCACGGGCCTAGCAGACTCAGTGGCGGCAGGGCTTCGACGTCAGAAATTAGGCGTAGCGACTAGATAGAGAAATCTACCCACGCAATCTATCTTTTCATTCCTATTTTATATCCTAATAATATTGTAACCCAAATTCATACATTTCTTTCCTATATTTGCTTCTTACACATATATGGATTAAGCCATAGATTTTTTCATGCCTCATCGTCATTTACTGATACGGGAATCGAGACGCTATATTTGAAAAATTATTGGTTGTATTTTTTTATATATAACTAGCTGATACGCGCAACTTTGTCTGCATCACACTTACTAAATTTTCATTATATTTTTAAAAATTATAGTCTATGTGTTATTCTGATGTATAATCTATATTACTGTACAGTTTTATCAAATTCCGTTCAGCTTTTGCGTGAAAGAGTAACAAACATCCATCCATACTCACAAACTCCAGATTCCTCTGGATTGGCAAAGCATGAGTGGTAATGGAAAAACTACTGACAAACAGAGACATAGCATACAAAATAAGCTGCTTTTTGAGCTATGTCTACGTTAATACCTTTCAAATAACCAATGACGAATTGAAACAAAAAGAATAATTTTTAATTTTAAATTCTGCTGTGCTACTTATGAAAATGATAACCCTTATTATACTTGTAATTTATACACAGCGCCAACTTGTTCCAAGCTAAGCGGAGCTTTTGTTAAGGGTACTAAATAGCTAGATAGCTGATAGAAATAAAGCATACATATACTTTTTTGTGAATACAAACATAATATACGTGCGAGAATTCGAACCCGCAACTCTAGACCACCGAGGTCGTCAAACTGTCGTCAACTTATGAATATAAGTATTTAGGAAATTACTGTATACAGTATACAGTATGAAAACTCTCGGCAAAACTTTTCATAGAAATAAGGACAAAAAAGCCTGACTTGTTCCTTAGCGAAATACTCGGCTTTACAGTACAACGGTGTACTCGTAACACAGTCACATCCTTAGGCTAACTCTGGCGTATTATCAAATAAATAAGATATAAGTTTTAAATTATTACAACGAAATAATATTAATGTACAATCTCTTTCATATTGCGATTTTAAATATATAAATACTTAGATAGTTGTTACAAAATAACATGTGAAAATAAATTTAAAAAACGTAGCTATGTTATATTATGTTATCTGTGACGTAGCTGACAATACGAGTATCTAATATAAGAAAATCATTGCTGCGTTAAAAGTTATCTCTGTATTCCAACTTTTAGGGTTTTCAATGAAAGCAGTACATATATTAAACGGTCTTTAAAGAAATGGTAGGGGTAAGTATTGTAAAGTTCATAATACATCATTCGTATCTATTATGATTTATCAATACTAAGGTCATAAAAACTATAAACGACCTTAACATATATGAAAAACTAGTTCATCATCGAGTAACATAAGCAATATTCCAACAGACAGGATTGAGGGACGTACTTATTGTGCTACACTTTATGTAATATCAACCCTACTGCTTCATTATTTTAAATAATGTAAATCCATCATATAAGTGACCAATTAAAGCAAGCATCATACACGCAAATTGCCTACTGATTTCTATTGATAAAATATGCTAATGGTATAATCGTTTATTAAAGCGCTTTCATAGTACCTCACCACGCACATAAATTTTACGACCACGAATAAAGAATAAAAACATCTAAGTTCAAAAACCATGAAGTCAGTTTACTTAAAAAAACATATTTCTTAACTTTTGTTTTGCTAATTGTAAATTGTAAAATAATGTCTGAGTATTAAATTTTTCTATTAAAGTAACAATGCAGTAAAGCCATAGCATAATCCGTAGTATACCATGACTGTCTATACCTAATGATCACAGATAGAGAACATTATCTAGATACTAATCATACAACAACTGTTACCTATAAACTCTACCTACTAGACACCTAAAAGAATAATAATACAAAGATATTTTATAATAAAATATTCCGTAAAATATGTTAAATTCAAAAACTTTGAATATTATCATAGTTGACAAATGTATACTGAGTTATACGTATTTCGATGGATTCATGAGTTCTTTAGACGTCTAGACGTCGTAAGATGAAATGATGAGGGTGCCACTGTAACAGAATTCTGATAAAGCGAACTGAATGATTAACCGTCTGCTTTTATACGAAATATCCTCGGCGATATCTGTACTATCCATCCATCTATCAATTTCTGACGTATATCAAAGTGCTAATGGCTTTGGAAGCGATGGTGATTATGATACTGAATCGTTTCTCTCGTTTGTGAATCAACATCAACGCTTACTTCGTTTGGATTAAATTTCTTGTAAAGAAGTTGTGTTTTAAAACTTGAAGCATCGAAATTTTCTCGTAAACTTCACAGTAAAATCTTTCCTGAATGTCTCTTAAAACTAAAGTTTTATAGTTGAATTTTATTACTGTTTCTGAACAACTTATTCTCTATGTCTGTAATAAATATATTTGTTAAATATACTATGCTAGAACATTTCAGATCTATGTGTTTATTTATAAAATATGAATACAGAACAGGTAGGTCAGATACTCTACAGTGAAGATCTACTATTTCCAAAGTCAGTAGGTGTTAAATAATAGTTGTAT